AGTGCACTTATTCCTTTAATAAGTTAAAAGAGACCCTTATAACTAGACCTATTCTAGTTACACCTAACACTTTAAAGCCTTTTTAGATTAAAACTAACGCTTTAGAGTGGGTAATAGGATCTGTTCTATACTAAAATAGTAAGGATGACAAGTTGCATCCTATTACATTTAGTAGATGCAAATTAAAAGCTATAGAACTAAATTATCCTATCTATAAAAAGAAAGGACTTGCAATTAAAGAAGCATTGTGCATATAGACCATATATATTTAAAATAGACATAAGATAGTTATTCTAACTAATTATAAAAGTCTAAAGTACTTACAAACTATAAAAACCCTAAGTAAGTAAGTCGTAAGGTAGTTTAAGAAGTTTTCTAAGTATAATATCGAGATTTAATATAGGAAAGAATTAGAAGCTATTATCCCTAACGCTATATCACGGCGCCTTAATTTTATAGGGAATACTCCTACAAATATTATAAAACGTATTAATGCTATACGTTTCTAAGTAAACAAAGAAACTAACTTTATAGAAGTAATGATTGCCTTTTAACTATCTAGTACTCTTCTAGAAGAAGAGCGCTTATAAAAACTAGTATAAGAGAAAGTAATTAACTATATAGTTATTAATAATAATAGAATACTAGAGTTGCAATATATTCTACTAGATAATAAGGGAGTTATACTATATCTTATACCGGAATTCTATGCAGATTTCTTAGATTATATGTATTATAACTATGGCTATTTTAGCTCCTCTAGCTTACTTAGATATGTAGAGTCTAGAGCATAGTAGCCTTCTATTAAAAAGGATATTTAGTACTTTAGTAGGCACTATCCTATTTGTTAGATTACTTAGAAAAAGAGTAGCAAGGAAAATGAGATATGCTTCTATTAAATTAATATAGAGTTATAACTATTCGAACGCTAGGCACTAGACGTTATTAGCTCTATACTCTCTTCTCTTAGCGGAAAGTAGTATATGCTTACTACTATCGATTATGTAATAAATTAGCCTATTACAAAAGTAGTTACATCTATAGATAATAAAACTACTACTAAATTTGTATATAAGGAAATCTATTATGCATATGGATTACTAAGGGAGATTCTATTAGATAATGATTATAGCATTTACCTATATTAGCTAGGGCTAGAGCAGATAAGAGAGCCTAAATAGCAAAGTAGAGATCTAGTTTATGCGACTTTTTGCCTATTATAGAAGTTAGAAAAGGCTATAATAAGGTTATAAAAGTTAGAAGATTTACTTACGAGCATCGTCTAAGTCCTTCTTTATAGTATAGTGTCCCTTAGGACTACCCTTACCTAAAGGCTTATAAGGAGGCTTGCTACTACTATTACTACTATGCTTACTAGTTCTAGTAAGAGAACTAGTAGTAGGGCGTATAATAGATGCCGACATTATTAAGGAATATAAGGAAAGTAATATAAAGAGTATAAAGAAGCTATTATAAAGCGTATGCATAGTAGAAGCGAGTTATAAGTAATAGGAAAGAGAAGATTAGTATATAAGTAATAGGAAGTTACTATAACTAATAAAGAAGAAAAAGAATAGTATATAAGAGGTAGTATAATATATAACTATTAAAGAAGGAAGAAGAAGTAGAAGTACTTAAGTAAGTTTAAAAAGCTTAATTAAGTTAGATATTAATATTATAGAGAAGGTTTAAGCTAGATAGAAGGAATGGTTTTATACCTAGAATTTCATAAGCTAGTAACTATAACTTAGAGTTATAGGTAACTAAGGCATAAAATTAAGAAGTAAGAAACTTAGAGTATGCTCCTTATAATGCTAGTAGGTAAGAAAGTTAGAGCATACTATTATTATAAGGGAAGGAGCATATAAAAAACGATCTAAGATCGTTATAGAAGTTGCTAGCGCTAAGGCTACTACCTAGCTAAGTAAAATTAGATACAACAAATGTAATAAAGGAGAATTAAGAAATAGAAGGAGATATAGGAAGATATAATAGCTATTATAGTGGGGAAGAAGATTCTAATAGCAAGTTGTAAGTAATAGAAGCAAATTTCCTAACTATAATTAGAATTATAGATAGAGAAACTTTCTATAACTATAACTAAAGTTATAGATAAAGGAAGTTTCCTAGGAGTGTAACTAAGAGTTATAGATAGAGGAAGTTTCTTATAGCTATAACTAAAAAAGTTATAGAGGAAGAAGTTACCTATAGCTATAACAAGCTATATAACTAAGGCTTCTTTAAAGTCTAACTAATTATTTCCTTTATATTATTAATTTCTATTAATACTAGTAATAATACTAAAGTAGATGCTTTAGTCTAAGTAGGGGAGGATATTATTATAAAGCCGGAGTAAGCCATTGCTTGGCGGATTTAGTATATAACCGTGCCGTACGCTAGTAGTCTAAAAAATCAAGTTCCTTTGGCAATTACAGCATTATCCGACCGAGAGGCTCTAACGTAGTGGTTAGCCTCTTTAGCACGCGTTAACCGTTTCTCTTTTCGGGCACTATTGCCATACCACATGATTTGTTTTTTTTTTGCATAAGCTGTGGAGGCTGAAGAGAGGCAGACGTCTTTGATGTGGAGGATTTACAAGCTGACGTTGCCTGAACACGTTTGTGTGTGTTGATCCTTGCGATAGAGAGATGATTTGCAATCGCGAGCGTTGCTGATCCAGGGTCTCTTCTGTTCCCGAGTCGTGCATCCAGTTGATTATTTCCAAGTTTATCAGATCTTCGCTTGGTGTTCATAAAGCCTCAAGATAACCAAGTCAGGTATGTGTGATGCGCGATTGCTGTTCGAAGTCAGGATTTCGAGAGTGTCTTGCTGCGAGTTCAAAATGCGATGTGGTTCTGTCTGGTGTCGGGCAATGTTATCTAAACAAGCTAAACTTTGCTTCAACAATTGGTTCTATAGTGTAATGGTTAGCACATCGGATTCTGATTCCGGTAATCCCAGTTCGATCCCGGGTAGGACCTCTTCTTTTGCTCGTCACCAGGCCTCACAATTTGGTACATGGCAAAAGATTACGCTCGGTCTTTTTGCACGAAATTGCAATCGCCCGGAGAACGCCCTACAGAAGCCACTTTGTCGCAATTGAGAAGTGACAACTCAGCAGAACAGACAGCTTGGCGTTTTTTTCGCGCAATAGAAATTTTTTCGCTCCAAATATGAAGTGGAGCAACGCGCTCGTGCTTTCAATAGGTAATGCGCTCTCAGAACGGATTGGGATTCCTATTCGTGCAATTTCCTCCTCCGCTTGTTATTCCTTTGCTCCATGCGCAGCATATGTTTGGTTGGGACAGAGCTACACCAGTATCGCAAGCAAAGGACAAGCTTGACGTCGTCACACACGGCAGTACTAGATGAATAGGTGGATGCGAAGCGAGAGCACTGTAGATCACTAGACACCCCGTTGAACAGTGCGTCATACATGAAGTAGGTAAAAAAATGGAGGGTAAAATAATAGATTAAATATTAATTATACATGAAAGAGCTGAATCAATTGGCAGTCAAACATTCTGCCTGAATGTAACGAGCAAACGGCAGAGTGAAGGACGAAAAGTCTGTCGTAACAACTCGTATACACGAGCGCAATGCTTCGTGCGTTGAGGAGGGAACAGACAGACATGAGCTTCTCAGCGGAAATGACCGTTGAAGGAGCTGAAGAGAAAATTCGAAGGTATCCACTGCGAAAAGGTCTTTCGGACAAATTTCACAGAAGATTTTCTGTTTCCGGTAGACCGTAGACTAGGTGACCTTGGGTCGTTGACGCTGTTGGACACATATCGCGGCATTGACTCGGTTCGGTCGGTGTGGCGGACGACGCACGCACCGGTATGGGAGAAACCGTCTGGTTGCTAGACCCTGACTCATAGTCCGGGGGGCCCACCTGATGCAGTTTTCCCGGGCGAAGTTCGAAAAAGAGTTTCAATGGTTGCTTTGCTGATCTAGCTGATCAGAATGTGGCGGTGTCAAGCTGATCTGTCGTCGGCAAGGACTGAAGGCTTTCTGTCGTGATGGTTGAAGTGTCGGTGCATGGTTCTTGGCTGTTCCAAAGGGTGTCTGACTGGTTGATGAAGGAGTGGGTTGTTATGTCTTCATCCCAAACGGCATTCAGGGGGCGTTGTTTCTTCTTCTAGTGGAGAAGGCTCGCATCAATCCTGAGATGGGCGAGGTAGGAGTGGCAGGAGGGCTGTGTGTTGGTGCGGCGAACTTGACACCCTCGATTGAGCCTTTGGAACTGCTGCTTGATGAAGGAGATCTCTGACGGTGTTCGAGACAGTCTTCAAGTGTGACATTGGCCGAGGGAAGAGATGGTGGCGCGCAGTCGTCAAGCATCTCGGTGAACTTGGAAGTGACCATATTTGTTTTGAGATGAGTGTCGAGTTTGGTCGCTGAGTAGTTTTTAAAGTCGAGAGGAATTTTATGTGGTGTAAGAATGGTGGGACGATATGGAGTATGCAAAAGAGGAGCAGGAGAGGAGGAGGGATCAACAAGATCATTTGTACCATTCCATCTGTACCACGAGGCACGCTACAGGGTCCAGCCATCCCTGCAGGCACAACGGTCATGGTGGACCATTGGAAAACCTAAAGTTCGGCTCACGTTACCCTTAGCACCAAATTTCGGGACCCACACACACAGGTCGCTTCGCGGAGAGGCGCGCAAGAGCAGATCTTCGAAATGATGTCGTGGTTGATCAACAGGCACTCCCTTTGGAGGTTTACGTACCCAGGCAACCCAGCCATGTCCTCTCATTTCTTTCCAATGCAAGCCTGTGTTTCGAAATATGCGTCATGCAGAGACTGTGCAAAGCCGAAGACTTCCATGACGGACGTTGCCAAAGGATATCAGCCACGTTGGATACGCAACAGACTCGCAGAATCTGTGGCAGATCCTTCTCGTTGCGTGCGATGGACGATGGTTTATCAGATTTGCTACTTCGAGTACATCCTCTTGTCGATCATCAAATAGACACGCACCTATCTTTTACAGTTCGATTTCCAGCTCGAAGAGTCGTCTACTTTTGCATGCGCGTCGCACAAAACAAATCCTTTGCAGGGCGGGGGACAAACTTTCTCTGTTCGATTGCATCAGGCAGTCGCCATTATTCCCATTCACGACTGTCCGTCGCTTCCGTGGAAAGATGTGACTTCAATGCTCTACATCATGCGTACTGTACACGTACTGTGAGCATTAAGAGAATCGGCATCTCGCATCCCGAATGTGTTCAGACTTGTAATCGCCACTCGGCGTGCAAGGCAGTTTACCTTTGCGACAGCGGAGGGACGACAGTTGACTGTCTCCGAGATCCGTGTGTGAGGCAAGTCTCATGAGGCAGTGACTTTGCGATAAAATACTCGACAACGTGTACAGTACCACGTCCGTTCAGAGTTCGTAGCTTTCCCCCTGCCCCTTACTTTTGCGACACCCATCACAAAACAGGCGGTCTCTCAAGACTAATGCCACGGAGAAGACTCGCATCTCTGTAAATTGCGCTCGAGTAGATGATAGGTCTAGAATGCTTGCCATGAGTCTGTTGCTTCGAGGAGCCGGAAGCATCGTGGTCAGAACTGTTGGCTGTTGCCAACCGTGCTATTTCAAGATCAGAATCTACTGACTGACCGTTGATAACGGTATCCTCCGCTGTTCACATGCAACGCGCACACCTGCAGACAAGTCACCTGTCAGCCTTGGCCAAGTCTGGATCAATCACCGGTCGCAAGCAGGCACTGAAACAAGATCTTGTAAACAGATTCGTCGACAGGTCTGACTCACGATGATCGAAGGTAGTCGACCTGGACAACAAAACTCAAAACAAACAGAAAATCCAAGCGATGGGGGCTTCAACACATGACCAAGCCCGTTGCGCGATCAACTGATTCGCAACCAAAGAATCAATGCTCTTTTTGCATCTCTCCTGCCAATCCGGAGAAATAGCCAACAAGGAACCCGGAGAATAGGAAATCCATAAAGCCTTCTAGAAGACGCATCATCTCATTTCCGCAATGCCGTTCTGTGGCCTAGGAGGATGGAAGGCCTGTTCCGAGGTCCGAGCGGAGCCCCTCAGGCGTCAAGCATCCCAGACAACCAGCCGAACGTATCTTGGTGTTGCACGCTGACTTCTGCGGTGCGTATGAAGGCGCGAGCTTGTGCGACAGAATCAAGCCAAACCATCTTGACATCTCTCGAGATCGGTACGCTTTCGTGGGGTGTGTGCTCGACGATGTCTCATTTCTTTTCGAGTCAAGTGGTCACCAGGAGCTTAAAGCTGGGGTACGTACCGCGGTCACCGACTTGGGTGTTTCGGTTCGGCTTCTCGGTGCCCGAGTCTATTGTCTCTTACAACTCACGTGTCAAACCTCCTGAAGATCAAGTCGGTTCCCAAGCGCAAGACCTGTGTTGTTGCTACAGGATGAATGTCAACAAACAAATTGTTGCCGACACTTATTGAGCCGGAATGTTGCACCTCACCGACATCTTGATGCTTAATTCTCATGCCAAGAGCACTTCAACCGGAGGCACGACATGTAGCTCTACCACAAAAAGCTCTTTGCAGAATGCTAGCTCTTCATAGCTGCAGTCGTTCTGCAAACTTGAGATCCAATCGTGCAAGCTCCCCCCGCACACAAATAAATGCCTGGATCGGCTACCCGATCGTACACCGAGTCACACGAGCACCGCAAGCGGTCAATAACTCAGCAATCCAAACAGAGACTGTCGCATGACTCCTTTTCAGACCTGGAGATCGTTCTCAGCTAGGGCCATTTGGAAGATTCGATAAGTCTTCAAACCCGATGGTCAGACAACACCACGACTCGACACACAGAGTTCATGGAATGTTCTCCCGTGATTCTCTACCCCTGGAACAGGACAGCAACAACATCTGAATCATACTACAGTCGCACGCTGTCATACCGGAACCGTAGTCGGTAGTCACCTCGGCACGTCTGTTCAACAACAGCTCTGCGTATCCGCAAGTTCGTATTCTGTGTCCTCGGTTTGACTCTGATTATCGGATGCATTGTCCGCTGCCAACCACAAAATGTTGAGTGAGATAGGAGTGCGTTCTTCAACGTGCTTGATGTTGTCGCAATTCTCTCTGTGCTCTTGTCTGCACATATCCTTTTCATGCCTTATGCATGGCGCCCATTCGCTGTACTACCGGAAGCTTACATCTTCCCCTGACTCTGGACCTCCCAACAAGTGTTTGCAAGCGTACGTCTGCGTGGAATGCCGGCGTCCTTGCCGGTTGCGTAGGTTGGTTATCTCAAGTCGGGGATCAGCCTTGTCAGGAAGAAGGATTTGTGCCACCGAAACGCCTCGTCCACGCATTGAGGTCCGCTGCACGGCCAGTATGCGAAGACAAAAGGACTCATCTGTCGTCGTGCTCAGGGGAGATCTATAGTGCGTGCAACACAGCTGTAAGACCGGATATGTAGCATGTGGCACAGAAGTTCGCATGGCCGAACAAGGTTCGTTGCCGTGTCCGACGGTTTACGGACATTCGTGCTGCTCAAGGTCAGTGACACGCTTGTTGTGGTACAGACACACCTTGCGATAAGGGTACGAGATCGTGATCAAGCGTTATGGCTCGCCAAATGTTTAGCATGCGGATGTTGTAGTGCCATGCTTGCCTCCATTGCTTTCGCGGACGGAGCGTACCTGGGGTTTTCGAGCACACATGATCTTGACATGGCTTGGTCTTGCCCTTCATCAGAAATCTTGCCGCCGATCTAAGCGGCCAAAGCAATTTGGTTGATCCTCGGAACAAAAGCGCGTCCCTCAACGCGTCTGCTTGCCTGTATGAGAGGAACACAACTTGAACACACGACAAGATTGAGTCTGACCGGTGTCTGGTTTCTTCCAGTATTGCTATCCGCAGACAACGTACGGACAACAAAAAGTCTTGATAGTATTGTACCATGTGTGCATCGACTGCACCAGCTGTTAGTTTGCCTCAGGTTCGGACCTCAACGCGTTATGCACGCGTCCTCTGTTGCTGCCTACCCATATTACTATCACATTTGCAATCAGAGCAGTTCCACATGTCTGGTGTGGCGGGTAACAGTCTCTGGCACACCTTATCCGAACCTTCTCGATCAGGACAGATCACTGCATGCGAAAGACTCAACCAACATAATTGAGGCAGTGTGTTCGATTCCCCTCATTCTCCTCGTTTGCGCTCTTTGCCCCTCTACTTGATCCCCCATTCAGCATTTGCGTATCTGAAACGTCATTGCGTTCTCGGGTAAGAGTATGTCAACCATGCTCTTGAGGCCATGATACGTGGGCCTGGCACCCTGTTCGGGATCTCGTCGTCGCTGTACCCATCGTCCGACTGGGCTCCCATTCTTATCGCTTGACTCTGTTCATCGCCGCCTTTTGTCAACCTCGCCGTCGTCACTGATGAACACTACGCGATGCGCATCGGGTAATTCCCCGGCCGCCACATACCTTTCCTGTACCAGGAGTCTCACATCGATCACTGCCCAGTTCGACTTGATAACACTCACGATTCACCGAGATCCTTATATGTGAGATGCGAGGCCCCTTGATCATCTGCCGGAGCAACAAACTTGCTTCCGAAACGAACCTCTCCTGCCGCTAGCTACGGCACTTGTGCTAGTCTTTGCTGCACTTATCATGCAGCACCTACGGTGATACTCGATCTATCACAATTCACCACCAAGGTCATGCATGCCGCTCTCTATTTCCTCGAGGTTCTGAGGAGCCTGCTCATGGCCGCTTGTAGGTACAAAGCTGGCCCAGAATCTCCTTTCCCCCATCTTGTCTTACCCATCATCACAGAGAGACCATAGTCAGTTGTATGTCTCGCTTAATTATCAAAAACCTTACTGTCTGATGTCGATCTACTAACATTACTCAGCGATCCAGATTATCGTGCAGTTCCGGGCGATCACAATAGTCCTAACCTGCTACAATGGCCAACATGTGGCCGAAGGACGATATGGTAGTCGTCTCCGTCGAAGAAATAGCAAACTATCATGCTATGCCTGCGCCACCGCCTGCCTTTCTCCCCAACGGGCCTATTGCTGCCATTCTTCGGCAATGGGATCCCAATGCCTTGCGCGCCTTTCTTGACTGTGAGACATACTCGTCTTTCCACTTCGACGTCTGCGACACGAGCCACGACGGGAAGACCTGGCGCACACACTCCATCTGGCGTCTTGAGCGCAACGTTCGTTTTGGAACGTCCGATCAGAATCAGGTCTGGCATGTCGATTGCCGATATGGGATGCTTGACAGACGTCCTTGGATACCGCTAGCGGCTGGCTCACTTGAGCTCGGTCGAGGTTCAACAACAGCATGGGTTGAGCTGTTGGCACGTGGTTGGGTTATGGATCGCATGCGCGAACGCAATTGGCGGCGCCGCGACAATCGCTTTTTCAGATTTCTGTTGAATGGCTTGGAGGTCAATCCGACTTGGCTCTATCAGAGTTCTTGAGGAGAGTTTGGACACAAGTCACAGGGATACCCCTGCTGTGTGAATTCATTGAGTCGTGTCGGTATCATTCTGTGTCTTTGCGACTGATCTCCCACTTTTTGTTCTTTGCTTTCCTGTGCCGGTTGAAGGACAAATCGAGCTAGCAATATCAAGCGTGTTCGAGAGATCGCCTTGTTAAGTCCAAAGTTCTCTTGCCCCTCCTCTGCTTCATCCCTCATGGATCTTCCCTTCGCCGCCCTTTCTCATCACTTCCTCACCCCCTGCACCCTCAAGCTTCCATAGCCATGTAGTCTCCTATAGACCTCTTCTTCCACGACCTGCAGTAAACTCTCCATAGCCTTATCTCTACTCATGCAAAACCGCCCGCTTAGAAGTCTTCTACCGCCCTGCTTAGGGTGTTGCACGATATGAGCTGCAAATCTGCCTTGGTAGCTTGATGTGATGAGCATAACATTGCGTTGTTCTGGTTGCAAGTAACGGTAGTTCTCTACGCGTACATTCATTAGTGGAAGTTTGAAAGGCGGAGGAGAAGTAGGGACGGACCAAGGATCTGGATGCGTGAGCCAAGGAGATCAGAGTCGCTTTTTGTGGAAGAGGATGGCCAGTAAGGTTTCAGGATTGATTTGAGCATTGTTGTGGATTGATTCGGGGCGATGTTCTGTTCTCTGAGGCAACAACAAGGTTGAGAGAAAGTGGGTTTGTAGATGACGGAAAGATGTAGAAGAGGTTTTCTGCGACGAGGAGGCAGAGGCAGAGGATTTTCTGCGATGTGAAGAGAAGGCGATGTAAAAGGAGGACGAAGAATGTGAACAAGACAACCCGCGTGGTTCTCACATTGCCATTGTCTGAAGAAAGGCTGTGAAAGTAGAAGCGTTGCACGATGTGAGAAATCAATGGGGTGAAAATAAGACACGGAAAATGTGCACAACACGGCGAAAAGATAATATGTCCAAAGAGAAATCAGCACTGTCATCGTCGTCCAGCGAACCCAAGTCTGACTCTCTGGAGTCAGCCTTGCTGACTCATGATTTGAAGAAGCAAGCCCTTATAAAGTCCTCAGTTGAATGCCTTCAACAAATCCTAACCCCATAGCCAACGATTGAATCTTGCAACCCGGGTGTTCGGCTCCGGCTCTGCAACCTCATCCTCCCAGTCCTCAGCACACCTTCCAGCCATCAAATCAACCTTGTCCAGCGGTCGCATCTTGGTCCGCCTTATCAACTTCCATCCACCCAAAGCAACAACAAAAAGTGCAAGGGCGAAGTACGCAAAGATGAAATTTGAGATTGACCAGTGGCCATGGATAAACACTTCGAAACCATTGGTAAGCACAATGATACCATATAAGAATGCAGAAGCATAGGAATAATAGTATTGATGCCTGCGGAACCAGGGCCGTTGCTCGTCAGTGACCCCTTGGGCTGTCTGTGCGCGTCGAAAGCGGATATAGGTGATGTGAAACACGAAGTAGATGACCAGATTTCCAGCGCCGACGATACTCGTGATCCAGGTGAAAACTGTCAAAGCGCCGTTACTTGCGGTCATGAATGAGATCAGTGATACGAGCCAGACACCAATGACGCAGTAGATGGGTACGCCGCGCCATGTCGTCAATAAGAATGATGGAGCATAACCTCCAAGAGCCATTGCATACGCAGACCGGGAAGCTGCATAGAAGATCTCGATCCCACATGACCATGCCGATGTTATGAGAATGGCATTAATCAGAGACGGCAATCCCGTGATACCTAATCTAGTAACTCCAATCACAAAAGGCGATGATCCAGCGCCCTTGGCTCCGGAAGTGAGTGCAGGGTCGTCGTATGGAACGAGGATACCCACGCAGAGCACACCAAGAACGTAGAAGATAACCAACCGATAGATGACGCGGCTGAATACACGCGGCATCACACGCCGAGGGTTTTGTGCCTCGCCAGCTGTCAAAGCGACGTAGTCTGGTCCGCCAAAAGCGAAGGCAGCTTGAACGAACACAGACCAGAAGCCCAGGAACCGTCCAGTGGATCCGCTCACGATGTATTCGGCGAATGAACCAGGCTTGTCCCAGAAAGTAAAACCGAAAGCCCAGTGCGATGGATTACCGCCAACCATGAGAATGACTTTGTTATAGTTTAGTATTGGGTGTGGATCAAGGAAAGGAGGAATGTGCTACTCACAAGTCATGATGATGAGACCAAGGATCAGCAGTACCTTGAAGATAGAGAAGTAAAATTCTCCCTCGCCATAGATACGTGCTCCAAAAGCATTCAATGCTAGCATGGACGATGTTATAATCGCTACCCAAACACCTAGAACCTCGTGTCAGTACTGTGAGCCTCAATCGCCGCACTCTAAGTAGTGTATGTTTACACACCATTGTTGATCGATTGGTCCCAATATCCTATCAAGGAGCAAACAGCCGAGATCTCACTAGCAACAATCAGTGCGTTGTTGACGGTATACACCGCTCCAATAGCAAAAGCCCAAGCTTCATCAAGGTATGCATGTGCATAGACTACAAAAGCGCCATCCACAGGCAGCCAAGAAACCATTTCCCCCATGGCATTGAAGGTGGACCATGTGAGTACGGCATAAATGGAATAGCCCAGAAACAAGCCACCAGGCCCAGCACGAGCGAGTGCTCCGCCCGAACCGATGAACAGGCCTGTACCTATGGCACCAGAAATTGCCATCATTTGGATGTGACGTGGACGCATGACTCGGCGTGTGCTTTTGCCGTAAGGCCTGGAAACGATCTGGAACTCCTCGACTTGGCCATGTTCGATTGGACACTCGTTGGCGACATTGGCGATGATGCTATCGGGATTCTTTTTGTCGTCCATAGCAGTAAGAAATTTAGAAGGAAAATACAGCTATCGTAAAATGGAAAGTTTGTGGATAGGCAAGAAACACAACTTAGATCCGAGCGACCGCAGCCTAACAGAACCGAGCGAACTAGCTCACATAAATATACCTTTGCTCCTTCCTTGTGTTCATTATCTGGACGTTCAGCACAGGGTAGATAGGCCAGCCTTAACTTGGCAGCCATATGCGATCCTGGTAGGGGTGCTGACACTTGCCTATCGCGGGAGATAAGCATGCATGGCTGCACTTCCAATCGAGTACTCTTGTCTTGTAACGAAGAACTCTTTGCTTCCGCAAGTTGGTAGTAGTGCGTAGAGGCGGTGTTACCTGCGATATGAGGCAGTTGCTTGTCAACTGGTCAGGCATACTGAGAGACCGTTGCGAAACAGTCGCTGGCATTGCGTGGGATAGAATCAATCTCTATCGTATTTGCAGATGGTGCTCGCCATGTATGATCATTTCTGGTACATGTGGTGGTTGGCGTATTTCTTTATTAAACAAGTCACAAAGCTTAGATCAATTGGTTCAATATGCTGAGTTGAAATGAACACATTTTGTCAATTTCATCTACGGATCTACAGCTTGGCAAGCAAGCCGTCCGAATTAAGGACAGCCAAATGACTCCTGTTGATCTCAGCCACAGTCTTACACCTAGAGAGATCATGTAAGCAGACTGCAAGTCGAGTGTTTCTTAGATTCAAAGTGATTGTCTCATTCTTACCCGGTGAGACCCATGCACAGCTTGAACTCATCTAACATGATCTGCAGAACCAATTCGACACCTTGTTGCCCGTCAAACTGATCGAAAAAGTCAGCGATCGACTCAAATCTAGCGTTTGCGACAGTGATCGAGGTAAAATTTTGCTCACAGCTAAGCCCCAGATGGGCAGTCTTCCAGCGAAGCAGAAATCGGCCCCCAAAGCAATAGCTTTGAACACATCAGTGCCACGGCGAATCCCTCCATCTACAGCGATTGGAATGCGGCCCTTGGCAGCGGGAGCGCAGATTCGAAGTGCATCAAGCGTCGCGGGGACGCTGTCGAGCTGGCGTCCTCCATGGTTTGATATAATCACCCCATTGGCACCGTGGGAAATGGCTAAAGAGACATCCTCTGGAGTATAAATTCCTTTGATCCAGACAGGGAGATCACAATGTTTCCGAACGTAGCCTAACGCTTCCGCCCAGCCAAAGGTACGTTCTAGGGAGATATGGTTATTCGGGTGATGGGACTGCTTTGATACACCTCCATAAATACCTTGCTCATGTTTCCCATAGCTGTCTGTCAGAGACTTGTCCAGATTCTCTAGATGAGGGTATCGTAGCTCTTTTGGGAGATCGAACTTGTTACGGTACTCGTTATAACGACGGCCAAGGAATGGAGCATCCACTGTCAGGAGGATGGCCTTTGCTCCTGCATCTGGTTTCAACCGTCAGGAACCTGAATGAAAGCAACAGCTCGGTGACGATCACGCTTACTTGCAGCCCTTTTGATGGTAGACGTGCTGATGGACAACTCTTTCATGATAGTGACTTGCATAGCATATGGATTTCCAAGACCATGCGAAAGAACCTCTTCAATCGAGGTTGTGGCCCATGACGAGAGTCCCATAGCTATTCCATACTTGGCAGCAGCTTTGGAGGTTGCAACCTCGCCGTCAGGATGTGCAAGGCAATGCATGGCAGCAGGCGCGAAGCCAAACGGCATTGATACCTTCGTGCCCCAAATTGTGGTGCTAGGGTCGACTGTAGAGACATCGCGGAGAACTCGTGGAAGAATCTTGTATCTGTTGTAAGCCGCTTCATTGTCATGTAGTCTGCCAACCTTGTCAATCGTCTCTCGTTTGCTCTACTATTCTTGAGAAGTACCTACGTTAACATGTCGGCTGCTCCATGGTTGAAATATTCTGACTGTGTCAGCCCATCGGCTTCATGATGTCCAGACTAATCTGCAAACCTTGATAGACTCGGGGCAGTTTTTTGGTCCCATGTTCCTTGATTTCGGCTATGGTCAAGACCGGCAATACAGCGGCGGTTCCGTCGTCCATCTTCATAAAGATTCGTGATTCAAAGGAAATGTCTGCAAGGCAAAGACAAATATTTGACCATCACTAAAGCCAGGTGCGGGGAAAGAAGTCCTGGGCATGTTCGGTACGCCTATCAGGCGGCGATACTTTGCCGTAGGTGCTTATCTTCCCTCATGGGCAGGCGACACCACTATCGAGCCAAGCTCAATGCAAGCTTCTTGATAAGGCTGTCAGGCAGATGGCGTGTGGAAACCGCACCGGCGCGATAAGTTGCCTCTTATGGAGTCGATAAGCTCGTTCTCAGGATCAGCCTCGCCCCACTACTCCACAACGGTAGGCATCATGTTACACCAACAACAGCAGAGAAGCCCAGGGCAGATGATTCACCCACACTCGACATATAAGAGTCACATTGCTTGACTCTTTGTTTGCAGGCCAGAACATTACTCTCGGCTCCTTGTACCATCCAGGCAAGCAGATCTATTCTGCAACCAATATTGACGATGCCCGCCGCCAAACAAAATATCGAGAGGCCATGGCGCATTTTGCTCGTCGGCAGTGGCGGCGTTGGGACCATGGCATCTTACGCACTCGAGATTGGGGGCAAAGCTGAGGTGACTTCGGTGCTACGATCCACGTACGACATTGTCACGAAGCAAGGCTTCTCCATCGATTCTGTCGATCATGGGAGAGATATTCAAGGCTTCCGACCATCACACATCACTAAGACGGTCCCTGACATGACCACAAGCGACTCGAAACCATTCGACTACATAATTGTCGCGACAAAGAACATCCCAGACATCCCTCCAACAGTCAGCGACCTCATCGCGCCCGCTGTGACGCCAGGAGTCACATCAATTGTGCTCTTACAAAATGGATTGAACATTGAGCTTCCTCTGGTCGAGCGATTCCCTACGAATGTTATCCTCTCCGGTGTCTCACTGATTGGAGCAGCCGAAATCAATGGATCCATTAAGCACGATGAACCTGACTTCACAAGGCTAGGAGTCTTCCCAAATCAGACTGTCGATCTCGAAATAGCCAAAGCCTCGGCGCTGCACCTAATCGATGCATACAATGCAGGTGGTAAGGTTGAATGGATCTTTGATGAGGATGTATCTTTTTCGCGATGGCGAAAGCTCCTGTACAACGCTTCCTACAATGTCGTGGCAGCGCTCACAGGCATTGACGTTATTCGTATGAGGATGTCCCAGTTCATGATTGATGATCTGATCTATCCTCTGATTCGCGAGATTCGGGCAATCGCGATGGCGGCTGGTGTGGTCCTTCCGAAAGATCTGGAGCTTTTCTTTATCAAGTGCGACACCCATGAGGGCTTCTTCATGCCGAGCATGGGCCAGGACTGTCGCAAGGTTTGTGCCAATCTTGACCCACAGAGTTATGTGCGAAACCTTGACTGACTTTGTATGCAGGGAAACGCCATGGAAATTGACACCATCGTGGGAGCGCCGCTAAGAGAAGCTGATCGGCTTGGCGTGCCTGCCCCAACGCTGCGCACATGCTATAACCTGTTGCGTTCCTTGCAGTTAAAGGTCAAAGAGAACAAAGGCCTATGGACAGCTCGCTTCGAAGCAAAGAACCCGTACGCGTAGGCGAGCGGCCTTGTACTTGGATCCATAGGGAATATATCACGTCAGCATCAAGCAAAGTTGCTGACTTTCTACCATAACTCGCCATCTGCATCGATCGTCTGCAGCGTCAGCTACATTGTTAGTGCTTTCATGATCCCATGTCTCAAAGGCAAAGTTTCCTCCCGAGCTCATTGCATGATTCACGTTATATGCTTCTGCCTTTTCATACCATGTCCTCCAACGCTGTCGCGTTTGCTTGTCGCGTGCTTCACATGCCGCGATGAAAGCCGGCCAGAAGATTGGGGAGGCCTCGATATGATGAGCTGTTTTGAGTTGCTCCAGCTCTTCGAGATCCTGAAGAGCTGCGAGCACATTGCTCGCCAGATATAGCGATGGCAGATGGCGATATTGCTTCGCGAAGTATATCACGAGCGCGTGGTGGAATGCATTGGTTTGGCGCTTGACTAGACAAAACTCGTCCTCACTGAACAAGTGTGCTTTCTTCCCTAATTCTGTTTGCGCAGACCAATTCAGAATCTCCAGCTCAACGGATCGGCAAATTTCCTGTATTTCGATGGAATCTGCAGCGTCGGCATCGCAATCATTCGCGAGATAATCAAGGCGCAGAGCCACAGTCGCTCTCCGCAACAACACCAAAGCGCTTTGTGGTATCCCGTAAACAAATTCGCATGCTGTCATGTCTGGTATCGAGCTCTCGGTCATGTCAAGCCAGAGACCAGATCCACGTTCAAATGATGTAGCAAATTCGGCATTGCGAAGCGGCGACGTCACGGTAGACCTCTCAGCTGTTGGGGAACCTGTAGAGCTGCTATATTGATGCGATTCATTTGTAACAGAGGCATCGGCAACGGTCCACGGACGTGTCGCATCGTGAATGGTGCGTAAGTAGAAATAAATGCGATGTAGCGCCCGTGCTTTGTGAGAAAACCGGCTCTTGCGTTTCCGGACGTGGCGGATGATTTGCTCGCATCCGTCGAGATGTAGCGAGCAAGTCTCAGCTTCACCAGACGCGACCTACACGAAAGCATCAGCCTGCCTTGTTTGCATCATGCTGCAAGGGTACATTGTTATTACATCGACAGTGATCATGGTCAATGTTGCAGCGAGTAATTCTTTGTACTTTGGACGTGGAGTCATGTCGACTTCCTCATTGATGGCGCGATTCAAGAAGACGATAGCCCGACTACGGAAGTTGGAAGCTAGCTGTGTCCATTTCGGGATTTGCTGCAGATGCTGCGGGTCGTTGGCCATGTAGAAGGAGCTAACAGCCAATATGGCATTGAAAAGTGCCAGACGAACAGTGGTTGTCGATCCAATCAGAGTCAGCTCACCTGCAATTTGGACTGCCCTAGGCAAGTGGATTATCTTCCAAGGATTTTTAGGACTCTTGATAATGGCGAAAGTGTCAACAACCCGATACATATAGTTTGACAAGAGAACTTTGACGTCGTCTGATACTTGCATGACGGGCGTCGGCCAAGTGCCTAGATCCGGTGATTGACTGGAGACGGCGAGCTCTGCTGAGCTCGCAGTAGGGGACAAAACGGGGTTTGCATGCTCTTGTGACAGTGGATGTGGTGGCTGCCAAGATGGCGATGCTGGTGTTAGGTCGGCGACAAAAGCGTTGCCGTCAGTGGTTGTGACATTAGTGTCTTGTCCATCGTCAGCAACATCTTGAAAGGGTCCGTCGGTATGCTCGCTGCGGTCGGCTTCAGTCGACCGAGTCGAAGCAGGCGAATCATCCGTTGGGCACGGTGAGGCTAAGGTGTGTGATAAGCGCAGATGAGGCTCTACTGATGTTTCAAGGACCTGGAAGACAGAAAATGGCCCCAATTCGCCAGGAGCATTGCAAGCGTCGAGGTCAGCGATGTGACGCTCCACCTGATCCGACGCCAGCACTACAGGAAACGTATCTGGACAGAGATAGTCGATCAGCAGTTAAGACGACCCTGATCGCGGAGAGAATGCTCACTGGGCGAGATGAGGCGTCGACGAGCACCCTTCGTATTCAACGCCTGCACGCATAGGCTTGGGTCGCCACAGGTTGGACGAAGCCACTGCAACTGAGTGGCGTAGCCAGGACATTCTCGTCCAGAATCAGTGCAGCGGCGACATGAAGGCCGATGCTCGTCACACTTCCTCCTCCGAGCACGGCAGCCCCAACAGCCTGTGAATGTCTTGGTCCTCGACTTGTGTCGTTCTCGTGCCTGCTTGCTCATGATCAACCGACGCTCGGCAGAAGCTCGGCGAGAGGGTGGCTGAGGCAAGCGCGAAAAAGGCAAGAGACAGCGACCTCGACAGCGACCGCCTTCCACCTTTAAGAATGACAAACGCCTGTATCCTGCGCATGCCGTCGTCACGGCGCAGTCACACGATGCTTATCTTATTGTGATGGCTTGTCAATAGTACCGCCTCGGCTTTCACCTGCACACCATGTACGAAAATCGATTTATCTGCTTATCTGACAGCACCAACAGCAAGGTTTGAACTTTGCTGTTTTCACCAGTTTCACCCCTCACGGCACTCTACAAGCCGTTCGTGAGCTCGCCTCTGGACTTCCACACCTCAAACTCAAAGTCAGGCTGGAATTCGGTATACAAGGTAACCTAGCATTGCACAATCAGTTTTTGTTCCTCGCATGTTAAGAGCTGTCGGCGTGCACCTACCGGATCCGCGTTGACCTCGTGTGTAAACCGTGCTTCCTCCTCCCCAATAATTTTCTTTTCGTGTCCAGCAGCGTCAGCCATGATCTGAACCTCGCACGTCTTTTCCATCATGGTAAACAGGTATGCGGCTTCGTCAACGGTGGATCCGCACGTCAGCAGTCCGTGGTTCTGCAATATCATAGTTCTGCTCTGAGGACCGAGAGCCTCGGCGATTCTGACACTCTCTTCCTTGGCCAGTACCACTCCGCCAAATTGTTCGTACACCTCCTGGTTATTCCAAAGCAGACACGAATCCTGATTTATTATTTCGAGCCGCTTTCCGAACGCAGACCATGCCTTTCCTGCTGGAGAATGGCAATGGCAGGCCGCGTTGACGTCGGGTCGTGCCCTGTGTATGGCCGAATGGATCGCGAAGCCAGCTGCATTGACTGCAACTCTGTTGCCTCCCACAACTTGACCTTCTTCGTTGATCTGGACCATATCACTTGCTTTGAGCATGCCAAAATGGACACCCAAGCTGGAGCACTGAGTCAGTGACGCCATTCCTTCTTCGTCGTCTTGGAGTTGTGAACATCAACATACGGATTGATCCAGAACGTATCAGGTTGGACCGGGTCTCTCAGAGAGATATGACCAGCAGTACCTTCAGTAAAACCTTTGCGCGCGAAAACCCTGAACGCACCTGCCATATGCTCGAGCATCCATTGGCGCCTTGTCCAAGTATCTTCAATAATTGGGATTCCTTCGCAAGGGATACCACCGGATGCCAGCAACTGGAGGGCATTCGATGTCTGCTGTTTGTCTGGACGTTCAGCTACACTGCGTAGCTTGAGCGGGTCGTCAACAATTATGGTCGCGGTAGTCGTCATGTTTGCTGAAAGAACGACTGTGGTGGTGATTTGGTGACAGACCATGCAGGTCTATATCACTGTTCATGGAAGCTGACGCTGTCTCGCTTGAGGATCCGCCGGTCTTGGGAGAACAGCAAGCGTTGCCAGAGTGGGTCTGTTGAAACAGGTAACCGACAGCACTCTGAGCCAAACTATATTTGGATTGTCCATGTTAGGGCAGATCGCTATGAGTTGCCTTTTTGGTCACGTTCACCTATCCGCAGGTCGACCTTCCTCAAGCTGTGACCAGTCGACACGAACCATGCAATCGAGGCATACATCATATCAATCAGGTTCAGTCAGACCTTGATTGACTGTCATGCTTATTACGCTGGCAATTGCACCTCCAATTTGCTTGATAACTCTTCGCACTTTCTAACTCAATTGATCGAATGCCTTTCCATATCGCAGCTCTTGATCCCACCCCGGGACGCAGAGGTTACGTCGCTGCAGGTACACGAACCAGTGCTACCGACATCATCAATGTCACCGGTCAGGTTGGCTCTGCTGCTGATGGAACCATCCCGCCCGACTATGAGTCACAAATTCATCTGGCCTTGTTGAACTTGCGCAGAGTTTTAGCTGAAGGAGGTGCCACCATTGCCGATATTCTAAAGATCAATCTCTACATTGTCAACTACAATCCCGAGCAGAGATTGCACACTCGAATCCTCACCAATTGGCTTGCAGGTCATCGTCCGGCCTGCACGCTTGTCCCGGTGTCACAGCTTGCACATCCAGGATGGTTGTTCGAGATCGATGCTGTTGCAGCAAAGAAAAACGACCTCTCTACAGTCGCTTTGCAGACTACCAGATCGCTAGTTGCGAACCAATCGTCTGTCGATGTTATTATCATCGGTGCTGGTCTCGCAGGACTCAATGCGGCAACCAAGATCAAGGAGGCCGGGCTCTCCTGCATGGTCCTCGAAGCTCGTGATCGAGTTGGAGGCCGTACATGGAGCCAACCTCTCAGTGATGGACGCGGCATTGTGGAGCTAGGAGCAGCTTGGATCAATGACACGAATCAAACTGTGATGGCCGGACTTGCTCGAAAGTTTGGCCTTGAGCTGCTGGTGCAGAGCATCGATGGTGATTGTACATTGCAGGATGAAAATGGTCAAGTCTCGACCTTCAAATATGGTGATCTTCCTCAGGTATCTGCTGATCTCTTCGCTCAATTGTTGTGAACTCACTGCTGACCTCTTTAGCTTGGTGCGGCTGTACAGCGTGATATTGCGCAAATCCGTGATTGTACAGAAGCCGACAGTCAGAGCGTTGATTGTGCTAGGCCCAGAAACACAAATCTGGACACTATCACCTTTGCCACCTACCTCCGACAAAACGGAGCAAAAGGTGCTGCGTTGCAGACTGCCAGCATCTGGTGTCGGGCCATGCTCGGACGCGAGCCGGAGGACGTTTCTGCACTATTCTTCCTGAACTATTGCAAGTCTGGCGGCGGCCTACTCAACATGCGCAATGATGGTAAAGGGGGCGCTCAAGCTTTGAGAGTGCGACAAGGAACCCAGTCATTCTCCAAGGGTCTTGCGGCTGAGCTTGGCCCCGGCGTTGTGCACTTGTCTACCCCTGTACACGCCATTCAACAGGTTGAAGGCCGCATGGCACTCGTCCACACGGGAAGTCGAGTGGTCGTCGCACGCAAAGTCATCACCACTGTTCCACCCGCAGCGCTCAAGCATGTCAATTTCTTCCCACCACTACCCAGGGACAAGCAAGTACTTATCGATTCATTCCGCTTTGGCTTCTACCGCAAGGTCATGGGAGTCTTCACGGAACCCTTTTGGCTAAAGAAAAGCCATTGTGGCTTGACTCAATCTTTCAATGGCCCTTCCTCCGTCATGAGAGACAGCAGCAGCCCAGCTGATGGTAAGTGGGTTCTTACTTGCTTCATGACATCAAATACAGGCGCTGCTTGGGCGGCGCTGCCGCAAGCAGAAGCGCACGAGCAATTACTGTCTCAAATCTGCAAACTGTACGACTCGCCCGAAGCACGCGACCTGTTTGTCGAGTTCATCAGTTCATCGTGGGACAAAGACCCTTTGACGGGTGGTGGTTGCCCAGCCGCATCGCTCTCTCCAGGTGTGCTTGACTCGGTCGGACATACGCTTAGAGAACCGTTTGGCCTGGTTCATTTTGCGGGCACCGAGACGGCTGCAGAGTGGAAAGGGTACATGGAAGGAGCTTCCAGAAGCGGACAACGAGCTGCGAACGAGGTTCTCGCCGATCTACTCTCGCCAGTTGCAAAATTGTGAACCGTCAATGTTGTTTCGGTGGTGGCGGTGAGGTGGAAGTTTGCATGTTCACAAAAACAGACCGAATATGCCTCAAGCAATGTAGGAATTCTAGAAATCGAGATTTTTGCTATGGGTTGCCTCTGTCATATTGTCCATGGCTCTCAATTCCCGCCAGAAGTTCCAAGGTCCTGGATTTGGGCTTGAGAATGGGAGTGTTTATCTTGCTATGAGTTAATGCTTCTATGCACTATACCGCGATCGAAATCAAGAGACTAGAGCCAAAGAAAGGCCCCTTCAAGCTGTGCCACGAACCATCTGGTAAGTGCGAATGCGTGGTTGCTCATCCGCAACCCAATCTTGGAGAAGAGACCCAATCCGATCGTACGTGTTGTCGTCAGTTGCGCCACATTCGACGTCAGCGATACCTGTATCCTTGTCGAAGGCCGAAAGGACAAAGCTATCTTCGATGGTCTTAAGCTTGGATAGATTTCTGTTCTCGAATTGTTCTCTTGTGGTGGAAAGAGAAACACGGAGTTGGATTTGTACCATGTTGGATTTTGATCAAGGTAAAATGATGATGATATCTATGTTTTACCACAGATGCGAAACGAACAAGATATCACCTGTTCGCTCAGAGTGGTCGGGGAGCTGAGAAGATACTATAAATGGGGACGCGCAAAGGATATATAAGTTTGATGACTCCAGGCAGCAGCTATGACGATGCAGGATCTGCAGGCTCTCGGGATTGGCAGCAGCCGAGCTAACATACAAGTAATGCTGCAGTTCGACTTGGACTTGAACATTCGACAAGTCATGGTTTCTTGAGAAAACTTATTCCAAATCAATCAATGACTCCGAAGAATCAGATAGGTTTTGCATGGACAAAATCGGCCCAAAACTATGACTGTCATGGTGCATTGTTAGTATCCGCATTGTTAGTAACAAAGCTTTAAGATTCTCGAATGCCGGACGCATAGCTATGGCAGATAGGTCAGCTATAATAAGGATCAAGCTTTTGCCCCAGATTGTCTAGCCATGTGTACAGTCGGTAGTTGCAACTGCGTCGGCAAGACCGACTGTTATGAACTCGGGCTGTGTGCCCGTTGGAAAGTGGCCTGTGAACTGACAAGCTTTAATTGCTTATGCTTGGCAGGGCAGAGTTCTTCCAATTGCGTCTTATAGTTAGGCGTGCGGACGGAGGGATGTTCGACCATATAGGCTCTCCAATGCTCTACTCAAGGGCCTAATAGTTATTATAAGGATGTGATCAATCAGACGATTAGCTTGCTAGAGAGGTTTTAGATGAGTAGCATTCTCGAAGCTTGACTCCTGGCGCGTTCCCCGGCTTGGCGAGGCTTGACACCGCGGCTCCGCTTGGGGAATAGCTTGGCAGAAGGTTTTGCCCCGTGCATGTCTGTGGAAATCACTGACAACTCCTTGCAGGCTAGTGCGCGCGTTCGGACTCGGAGACTGAGTGGTCCGGCTCTTCAGCCGCACTTCTTGGAACTCGTTTCCCAATAGAACAAGAAGGTCTACCTTTACGCACTGCCATTAGTTCTTCGTTCCGCCAATGAGCTGAGCCCTGTCACCGTTCCCAGCTTGAGCCTCACGTCTCGCTGGTACACTTCTCTCAAATTACATGGCGTTCTCCAGCTATGCCCAGTCCAAAAACGGTCAGGCGAAAGACATCTGGATCATATCAAGCCGGCCAGCTGAAGCAGCACCTGACTCCAGGCACTCAATAAACATGCAATTGATTCATACATAAGTATAGCGAGGGTCATGTACCACTTTCTCAACCATCAAAGTGACTTTCTTTCTTGACATTGCTTCAGCTTTGAAGCGTCCACTCATTTGTATTGTTTTTATTATTCAGGATGGTCAAGAACCGCTCAATTCTGGGCAGCCTTGCTCTGGGCTTGACTGCCTACGCTTCTGCCAGAGAGGTGGGCTTCAATTCGACATCCCCTGGTGTTTATACCAACCACACGACTACCACAGTCATCACCCAAAATGCAGCTTCCATTTCTGAGTCCGTCAGCCTCGCTGGTGCTGTCGATCTGGACGTCATTTCCGGCAGCATTTCGTCTATTGAGGTTACAAACAACCCCTCTTTCGTTACTCTCGCGCAGCAGCCAAGCACAACTACTACGTTGATTGCCGGGACCATTGCTGCCAACTCGTCTCCTGTCGGTTTGCAAACAGTAGTCGTCACTTCGACAGTCCCCGCCTGTGCTCCTGGGTCCACGGTCACCGATACATCCTCTGTTAGCCCAAATGTCAATGGCCAAGCTCCTTTCGCCCTGGCAGCATCATCAACCCTATCTGCATCGTATGCCGCATCAACTCTTCTTCCAGCAGTTCACTGGGACTATCCCGTAGATGACATTCACAATTTGGCACCTTCGAACAGTTCCAATCTTTATTACTCTTCTGACGGTGTCTCTGATCCTTCTATCCAGCACCTCTATGCTTCTCTTTCGACCACGATGATGTACGAGTCTGTTGTCTTGGACCACTCATCATTTGTGGCAAATACTTCGTGCTCCAATGATGGCATCATGGTCACTTTCTCGTCTTCTGAAGCTTTCAACTTCGCGTCAAGCACCTGGTCCGCCTCTTCTTCTGCTTTCGTTCTCGTCACTTACACGGACGGATGTCACGGTTCATCCGATCAGCAACGAACTTTCTGGTTGATTGATGCCTTGGAGACTTTGGCAGACTCTCTGTCTATCTTAGCCAAGGTTGAGACCGAGCTTGCCGTCGAAAGCGCCCTGCACGAGGTTGACTTACAATGGGGTACATACTATCCTGCCAGCAACTCTACCCAGAATCTCACTTCTAGCAACGGCTCTGGTTCTGCCATTTCTGGGTCTTCCTCCGGATCGTCGAATGGCGGTACCAGTTCTTCGTTCTCTGGATCCTCGCAAGGTTCGTCAAACAACTCGAGCTTGCCGTCTTCGGGGTCGGGATCATCCTCTGGAGCAAACAACACAACCACAGGTACTACTGGCGGCTCAGCTTGTGGCAACGCACCTTCATCCACGATTGATGGCCTCCCCGCGGCAAACTGTGGTGATTCTAACTTTGACGCTGAGCTTGACAACGCTATTGGTTATCTGGGGTTCAATTCTGCATCGGATGATGGGTCAAGCCTCGCAGACTTCCTGCCTGATGCTTCGGTAGACTCAAGTGACCTGACCGACGCTGAGAATAGCGCGCAGTTGTCCAGACGCTCTGTCATGCTCGAGAAGCGGCGGTTCAATCTCTTCAAAGCGATCGTACATGTAAGCAACTGGAAGATGACGCACGTACCGAGATGCTGACTCCACACAGACTGTGGTAAAGGTGACTAAAACTGTTGTACATGTCACGACTGCCCCTATTCGTCTTGTCGCCACAGGTATCCGCCATATTCCAGTTGTTGGAGACTTCATTGCAAAGCAGACTGAGCTCGATCCTTCAATCAGTGGCTCTAAGGACTTCAATTTTGGACCCGACGCGACTGCTGACTCACCCTGGGGCAAAGCGGCAGAGATCTACTCAAAGAGCAAGACATCAGCATCAGGCACTGCCAGCGCAGACGCGACCATTTACTGTGTTGGTTGTGGCGTCAAGGGCCATGTCGCCATGGCAGGGCAGGCAAAGTTCAACGTCCTCGATGGCCTTCATGGACTTAGTGCTAATCTCAACGCCAACCTCGAAGCCGGAGTCAACCTCGGTCTAGTTGCTCACGCTCAATATTCGGATACCAAGACCAAGGCCTTGATCAGAGCGCCTCTTCCCGAAGTTGGTGTTGCGGTCAAGGGTGTCTTTTCTGCTGGTGTATATCTGAGTGTTGACGCTGTCAGCACTGTCGATGTTGCAGCCGAAGGAGAAGCACTCGTGGGCGTTGTCATGACCATTCCTAACTTCCAAGCAACTCTTGATCTGTTCAACCAAGATGGAGCGAGCAAGTCTGGCGTCACTGGCTTTACTCCCACTTTCGAGAAGCGATTTGAAGCTAGCGGTAAAGTCGCTGCTTCTGTCAAATTGGCTCTGCCCATTGCAATCAACTGTGGCTTCGAGATCCCCGCCATCAGCCTGAAGAGAGCCATCGCGCTCATCGAACAGCCCAGTCTCTACGGCAATCTTACAGTCGCCGCAAGCACCGCAAATGTCGCACCGGCAAGTGACACTTGCAACAATGGCATCGAGTATTTTGCCAATCGTAAGTGATACGTATAATGCAAGGTTTTGTGCAAGCGCTAACTTTCGACAAGTTCAAAACGATGTCAACTTTGACTTCCTCGGTCTGAAGACTTTCACCTTGAATCACTACGACTCTCCTCCTCTCTTGCAGGGCTGCAAGACGTAAGTGATCTGATGCTCACAGTCGAAATTGTCACAGCTAATGATTCCTAGCTTCGGACCAAGCACGTCAGCCACTTCTGACAATGCTTCGGCGACCACAGACAATGCTTCTGCAACCACAGACAATGCTTCTGCAACAACTGATAATGCTTCTGCGACTACGGATAAAGCTTCGGCGACTACTGATAATGCTTCGGCGACTACTGATAATGCTTCCGCAACTACAGACGATGCTTCTGCAACAACTGATCATGCTTCGGCCACTACTGGAGATGTCTCTGCACCCACTGGAAACGCTGCAGCAACCACTGGAGACGCTGCAGCAATTACCGGAGCGGCAACGCCCACAACTGATGCTGAAACCCCTAGCGATCAGTCAAGCATGCCAACAGCAACAAAAGACTCCACCTCCGACCCGACAGTGACACCCGACCTTTCCACCACTGAAAGCGAGCGCCGTCGCTCTGTCTTCTTCCGTCGTGACAATTCCACCACGTCTGCGTCTGGTGACGATGAGGAAGTCATGGCTGATGATACTGAAGATACATTCGATGATACAGACAACGCCGACGAGACGGATGATGTAGTCTCTGACGACTCAAGTGCTGCTGATGGTGCTGAGTTTGAAGATGATGCCAATGACGCACTTTCTCTTTCCGCCGACCAGCAGTCCGAAGACGGCATCACTTTCAACACTCTGATTGATATACAAAACACTTTCCAGATTGTTCCAGGCACCGATGGAAATCTATACACGAGCAGTTTGACCCCTGGATCTCCGAGTGACGCTGGGCTATTTGCAGAGTCACAGGGTATCATTGTTGGTGACGATGAGGAGCGCGTCCTTCACTACTACCCCGATGAAATGGCGACCTACAACGTGAGTCGAATCGGGCTCAGCTTGGAGGTTCCCAAGACTGCTGATGCTATCGCCCTGTCGCCAATCGACTACGACGATGCGAGCGACACGGCATCCGCATACTTTGCGGTGTCAACCAAGCAGGATGTTTATAGTCTGGTCTTGTGCGACTTTAGTAATGGCGCTGACGGCAAGATTTTCATTATCAACGATGAGTCCGGCTTGGACTCTCTCCAAAACAACACGAACATCAAGTACACCGTCACTGGAGCTCCCGTCCAGGCTTGTTACCCGTTGGCAATTGTCTCTGGCGGAAATGGTACCGTCTCATCATAGAGATCATGAGCAACCAGACGCAAAAGATATCTTTTCTTTATCATATGATTTTTTCTTACTTACAGATCTCTTTTCTCTTACTCAAAATTTCCTTTATTCTCGCCACTGATCTTGGAGAACTTACGTTGTTCAAGGATTTCAAACATCTCTTTGGTCTTACTATTTTTACTATACTTCATGTATCATACCTAAAACTTCCTAGCTACCTTACCAAGTAGTTTTGCTATCTCGGAGAGATAGCAATTTGATAATCTTCTCTATACTATACTAGTTCTTAGGTTCTTTCTCTTAACTTAGAACAATCGCACAACGATCAGACTACGCCATGGACAGCTTCTGCCCAATCCAGTGATGATCATCCATGCAAACACTGAAATATAAGCAAGTGCTTTATCTGTGTCTTTTTGCAAGTCTGAGACGAGGTCTTGCGGTCAGGCGGAAATTACCGGCTTTAAGGACTTTAGACTTCTAGCTTTATCTCTCTCCTGACTCTGTCCATTTCTTACCACCAACGCCAACAACGACAACCACGAATAGGAAGTATTGCCAACTGAGACCAAAAAATGTACTCCAGGGATGAAACAGTCCAAGCAATCTTGTCTTTCTACACAGAACTCCTAAAACAACCATGCATATCCAACTCTCATCTCGCCATAGCCCCACCTTCAGGCTGGAACATAAACGAGCAAGAGATACGAGCAAGCGGCAAAAACGACACAGTGATTGATTTGTTACGCCATCTGCCATATCTTGAAGGCAGCAGATACGATGGACCGTTCGTGAACTACGAGACCCAGAGCGTAGATTACACTGCCCAGTCGATCACGAGTAGTGAACAAGCATACCGACTACCTGGTCATTGTGTCTATCTCACACAGGGAGAGGGACGAGAGGGATATAGCATAATTCTTGATACGGAGAGAGGTATTGCAAAAACCCAGCGTCGACGAAGATACTACTGACAAGATTGTTAAAGGCACAACAACAGCTTGGAGCGTCATGGGATACGAACTCCTCCACTCCAACTACTCGTACGAAGCCTCACTTCCAGAGAGCGATAAATGGCGTGCGCATCGGACCCTACCTACTGCAGATTTCTTCGCTGCATGGACATTGCGATACCAGAAGTTGGTTTGGTTCTTATCTCCGAGTGCTTCTTCTCGCTCGACAGGAACTTTCTACAGTAGAGCAGAGCAATTGTTCGAAGAAGACGAGTTATGCCACCAACCATTGACAGAATGGCATCCTGATCTGTCAGAAATGAAGAAGATTGAAGATTTTGATCCAGAAGACTTGGACAATGAAGTTAATGAATACAGCAGGTTGTTAAGGATTAAACATAAAGCGGTAAGTTGGTGTTAAATCTTGGGTCTCTGTTTGACTTTGACTAATCGCTAGAATATCTAGGATATCTACAACACCATTCTAAGATATGGTTGGGGAAGTGAAGACTTTGAGAAAGAGGCTTGTATGGCTGTACTGTTAATGATGGAGAAACAGTATGATAAGGAAGAGAAACGTCTGATGGATATGGTCAATCCTGATGCCCACCTCTTTGATGATTAAACTGAGGAAGATGAGGCAAATCCGCCTGAGTGAAACGGACATAATTTCCTCTACCTCGAATAAGCAGGAATTGACTAGACAATCCTTGAGCAATATTGTTTCGCTGACACATCGCATCAGAATCTCATACCCCACTTCCAAGTTCCAATCTAGCTTTCGATCTCTGGTATGCTCTGTCTGCACGTTGTCCACGCCTCTGCTCCATCAACATAGGCACCAAGCCTCCCAGATGTCTTAAGCCGTCCTTCATATCCTCATCAAATGCCGACTTTCTTCCAAACACCCATCTCAGCCACGAGGTTTCCTCATGTCTCACAAGGGAATAGGCAGTTTTTGCCGCCTCGTGTGCTTTTGAAAGAGAAGCGCGAATGGCCTGGAGGAGAGGATGAACGGCCTGGATTTTGGCTAGCAGGAGTTCCTTGCGCAGTTTTTTTGCGTTGTCGCTGGGCCTTTTGATTGATTCGGCGCTTTTTTCGAGGTGGGGGAAAGCGCTTGAGGGCAAGGACCAGAGTATGAATCGTTTGAGCAACGACAGCTGCTGGACCGCTGCGGTTGACATGTTCTTAGGTTTTTCTTTCTTTGAGAGATCATCACAATCATTCGAAGCCGTGTAGGTTGCCAAGGGGTAAAGCGAAGTTCTCGTCTGGTTTAACAAATGACCCCATGATCTGTCTAGAAGAATGACGCTGGTACCTATCCTTTCCAGCACGGCTATAAAATGTGAAAGATCGTCGGACACAGTCGTCAGTAATGGCCGACTCGAAGTGTCCTCGTCAGTGTAATCAGGATCCACCATCTGATCTGCGTCATACACGAGCTGAGGATCGAGAGCGCGGAGCCTCAGGTACATGTTCTCGAGCAACCAATCCCTGAATGCATCATAGCCCACCAAGTCGCTCTGGAATCGAACCGCAGTCGCGTTAAGGAGTCGAACAGTTACCATAGTGGATTGAGTTTCCTTGGATCGTATTGGGATGGGTGCATTGAGTTCTGCGGACTCTATCACCTCTATATCATGACGCATCAAAGCAAGCTCGTTTCTGATATCCTCGAGCAAGTCGAATATGCTGTCCACGGCATCTGGATTCTCCGACAAAGCGAAAGCAATGCTTGGAATGACATTTTCAATCGAATTCAGCCGCGATAGCTTCTCCTTTTCAGTTAACTCGTCACAATGCAAAACCCTCGGCACCAGAGGTACTTGGCACAAGTCATGCCTGACTTCAGCCATGTTAGAGTCGCTCGGCGTCCAGACTTGTTTTGCAATAGAGCGAACAAGTGGTCCAGGATATGAGAAGACGCCGGGTCCGAACCAAGAAAGGAGGATGTTGACCAAAGCCAGCAGCATGACGAGAATTGTTTGCTTAGATAGCGCGAATGGGTACGCCCGGCAGAAGATTGATCTGCCGCGCTGTCTGCTGGATAAGGGTATGCTGGATATCCTCGCCGGTATTCTTCCTGAGCGCGATCGCGAACGAGATCGCGAAGCGCCTAGATCGGTGGCATTGTCGCGATGAAGCTGGAGTGTCCTCCTTGTTCGGTATCGGCTACCACTATCGGCGTGATCAGAAGTGGGAGCCATTCTGTCAGCATAGGCTGACGGTTGGGGTGTCGGAGAAGAGAAGAACGAGGAGATCTCAGCGAGTTCTTGCCATCGCGGCTTTACATTCCACGGTTCGTGTTTGGCGTAATGGTCGAAACTTGCGCTTGACCAGTATGTCATATTCTTCAAGAGCTTCTCCACCTAATGCAGTGGATACAAGTTACTTGGGTTGACGAACAAAGGGTTTCACAGTAAGAGGAATAGATGCTTGCTATCAACAGTGCGACTAGAGTCCGATTGTGTTGCAACTTTCCGAATGCGGAAAGCTGACTTGTTTGGGTGTCGGACGGTGACTTTTTGCATTCCACACGACATGCGAGAGAGGCAAGTCTTATCTCAAGGTCTAATCGATGCATGCGCTAGTATAGACTCGAGCCATATCGTCGATGAACCACCTCGACCCAACTTGTTAGCAATCTCGTAGCGGTTTTTATGCAGCAGATCACCAATTCGAATGATTAGGAAGCCACCAGGCTTACAGCCATCGAGAGGTTCAGTGCCATCTTCGTATTGGTTGTGACTACACTGGTAAGGGTCTTGTTCCGATGACATCTTGTTTGAGTTTGAGGTGAGTCGTCTTGATGTACCTGTCTCTTTGAAGATGCTAGAAGGATAGCCAAGCGCCAGAAATTGTGATGTCGCAGGACTGACTGGGCGCAGCGATATCTTAAAGTGGAGTATCTTGACTTAGTCGGATTCACCATGGCCTCGTGAGAATGTTTGCAACTAAAGTCCCCAGCACAGTATCAATCTTCTTGTTCATAATGTATCGATAGTCACGAGTATGGGAGTCATCAAGTAAGAGACGGTGCATAGCAACACCCCTGACCACAAGTATACAAGGGCTGCCTAGAATAATGACTCTATTTGTTGAATGTTGAGTTTCCCCAGAGGTGCTCTATTCGTGCTACCAGACCCGAGGATAGCTTTGAGGTCTCTTCCACGTCGACGAGAAGGTTACTGATCTGTGTGTGGTTGACTCTGTGCACTCCTTCCGAATCTGAGTCAATCACAATCATCTCTCGCTCAACGGCTTTCATAATTGCACTTGCAGTCTTAATGGCCTCGTCAACCTGTTCGAGCAAGCTCAGAGCTTCATCTAGGATGTTGTGCAGCTCAGTGGTTAGATTCCATTCGGCATGTGAGAGGACGACGTCTGATGGCATGGACATGTAGCTCATCCACATGATCTTTCGACATTCAGTCTGCCTGCCTCGAATGATCGTCTCAACTGTTTCGAGGACGGAAATGCTTTCCTCGACGTCGTGGTAGATTTTGTTGTTGTACCATGTCAAGGTAAACGGTGCCACTCGTGCTTCAGAATTGAGTGTGTCGGTGGATGTATCACGTATGTGACAAAACATTCTGTGGACATGAATGTAGTAGCTGGCCATGGCGTCGATCAGCAGATCCATCGTCGACGCGGATATGGATTCAGGGCTGATGGGAAACTCGTATCTAATCGCCAGGGTACCAAGGTCGCGATGAAACCTGTGTATCAGGGCTTGGGCTTGGGAAATATGATCAGGAATATGTGTCAAGGCTCTGACAGCATCCACAGTGCGATGATGGTTGGCATCCAGTGTTGCTCCGAACCCAGGAACTTCACAATCCAGTACCCAGAACGCAACTGCCGGACTGCCAGGATCGATTTCGAACTTCCTAGCGACTCGACATGAAGGCGATACCACAGGCTTGTGACTCCATCCGAGTGTTGAGCCCCGTCCACAAATAGAACCTTTATTGGGACTGGAATCGACTCGAGCATCGCCGAACCAATGACTCGCGAACTTCAGACGCAAGCAAATGGCGAGAGGCAAAAGGACGACAGCGAGGGTCACCAGTGTCCGTAGGATGATAGCTGGGGCGGACGAGCGAGATTTCCGAGTTTCGGGGGTGCTTGCTTGACGAGATGCCTCATGGAATCGAGCTACACGTGTGCAATCGTCTTCGGATAGATCGTTCAGCTCCTGAAGACTCATGTCTCTGATTGACTTTTTGAGATCAGGGAACAGGGTCGGCGTTGCAACAGGAGAGGTAGGGCATTCTGATGACGAAGTGGACATGACCTCGGGAGATTCGTGAGACAAGCACGAGAGCAATGTAGAAGAAGTTACGATGAGGAAAAGGTAAGAGTTCAAGCATTTTTAGGGAAGCGGATGTTGGACTCAAGTCGGTGTAAGTCGGTGTAAGGAGTGCGCAAGGGAGACGACTTGGCAGTACATTGTGCATGCTGAGATCAGGCTGCTTCTATACCTACAGGTTGATTATATTGTGATCAATCAAGAGCTATCTGACAAACAACGACGTTGAACATGTCTGCAGAGGATGTGATGACCATGTCCAGAAAGGCAGGCGTGTCTTTGTCATGTCTGCGGGGAGTTTTGCGGGAGAGCGATTCACAAGGTGGAACGGCAAGATTATGTAAGTGGATCGACCCTGCCAAGAAAAAGCACCAACGCAAAAAGGGCAAGAGCGAAGGGTCATTGAACGTCGGCTGTGCGGTCGACAATCCGAAGGGACGCTCGTTCTTTCCCTGGATGACGGTCGTGTTGGTTGAAGCCAGCAGTTTGCAGTTTCGTTATCTGACACTCATATAGATATTGCGTGCTATCAGAAGGCAGGTGATTTGGAATGTCGGTTCGAAAAAGGTAGGGCTTGGCGACGGGAAGGCCTCGTAAAAACAACAGACGAGGGCCCAGACCGCGACGGGTTAATGCAGTTGGAAGGTTAAGTTTGGCCGAGAGGGACGATCTTATTGAGTCGACGTCTTGTGCCCACGGCAGATGCAAGCATGCGCAGCAGGAGCACGAGTAGGATCAGGAACAGCCATGGCGGCCGACAGGAGTTCCAAGAAGAGAGCGCGGCCTGAGGCCATTTCTCCCAGTGGCAGCGACGAGCGCGTCCTCAGCACGGCGAACATGCCCATCCGCACAACAAAGGACGCCGCGCTCGCTGAACTCGGGCTCGTCGACTTTCTGCAACACGATCCGCGACCGACGTGCATTGTCGACACGGCGGCCGGCTGCATCGCATACCGCAATCCCGCCCTCGAACGACTGCTCGCCGGCGCATGGAACCTCCAACACTTTCGCGACTGGGTCACGGCCCTGACTCCTCAATCACAATCACAGCCCGCCGCCTACGGAGGAAGAGCATGGAACTGCATACTACAGAACCACCGGTGGCTCATTGCCAGCGCCCAGGACGAAGCCTTTGTCGCTCCCGCTCCTCCCGCCACGCACCGCGCAGCAGCGCCCGCTCGCTCCCTGTCGCAGAACAGCGTCAACACACGCGCCACCTCCCAACACAGCAACACCAACAGTAACTCCAACAGCAACTCTGGCACATCCTCGTCCGACTCACGCCGCCAGTCCGTCGCTTCCTCGTCATGGCGCACCGTCTCGGACGAAGGCAGCCAGCGCTACCTCGACTGGACCCGCATCCCCTCTCCCGCCATGTCCGCCCACATGCATTTGATCCGCAACTTCCCCTGGCAAGACACGACCATTGGCAGCATCCACTCCTGGCCTGATGCTCTCCGCCAAGCCGTCCTCTCCATCATGGCCAACCCAGACCCCCGTCTGCTGCTCTGGGGAGACGACCACATCATGATCTACAACGAGTCCTGTATCTCCATGTTCGGCGAACGTCACCCGCGCGCTCTCGGCTCCAGGGCTGAAGACACTTGGTCCGACATCTGGTCCGACATGCAGCACTTGATCAAGTACGTTCAGATTGAAGGACGAGGCACCCGCTTGAATAAACTGCCCTTGGTCATGGAACGCAATGGATACCCCGAGGACACCTTCTGGTCTTTCAACCTGATCCCAATTGTCGGCCCCAACGGAAACACGATTGGTGTCATGGACGAGTTCTCTGAAGTCACAGAACAGGTTGTTAGCGATCGTCGCCGGGATACCATTGTCAAGATCAACAGGTCAATTGCCAAAGTCAACAGCATCAAGGAGTTGTGGTTCGAATTTCTCGAGGGCCTGGAGCCTTGCAAGGATGACATTCCTTATGCCCTTCTTTACACAAACCACGCTGCCGCTGCTACCGATCCCTCGATACCAGACAGCATCTCGGCCAGTTCCGGTTTCAGTCCACAGCGCTACGCCCTCGAAGGTTCCATCGGCCTCGCTGCTGGCCATCCTGCCGTGCCTTTGACTTTTGATCTTGCCGACTGCGCAAATGATCAAAATCCTCTTGCTCGTGCCTGTTACAAAGCCTGGAAGTCTGACGACGTCGTTGTCCTGCAAGTCAAAGACGGCACTCTGCCAGAATCTCTCAATCAAGGCGTCCCTGGCCGAGCTGCTGGTGACAAAGTTCAGACCGTCTGTATTGTTCCTTTACCTGACATGACTGGGAATCACACAATGGCCTTCCTCACTCTGGCAATGACTCCACGTCGACCATACGATTCTGAAGCCGCCATGTTTGCCTATTACCTCCGTGATATACTCGTCAAGTCTGCATCAGCCATCTGTCTTCCCGAAGAACAACGCCGCGCTCGCCAAAAGTTTGAACAGATAGAAGCTTCTTTGGCTCAACAGCTTCGTGCCACCACACTCGAAACCGAGCGTCTTGAAAGTCGGTACGCACGCATGGCCCAGATGGCTCCCATAGGAATGTATGCCATCACGCCAGACTCACGTACAACTTTCCACAACAAAGCCTACCTGGATATCACTGGTATCACTGAAGCCTCAATTGAAGCCCAGACCGATCCTTCCGAGTACATACACGTCGACGATCGTGAGAGAGTCATGGCTGCTTGGCTACAGTGTTTGGAGGATAAACAGTCATTTACCCTCGAATATCGCGTGACCCGGTCATGGTCCTTTACCGATCCCATATCCGGAGAGACATTCGAAGGCGACACCTACGTCCTGGCCACCGCAGCACCGGAAATGGATGAAGATGGTAATATCATCCATATCCAGGGTTGGTTGCTCGACGTCAGTGATCGCAAATATCATGAAAAGTCTCGAATCCAACAAATAGAGGTCGAACAGTCAGAAACAAGATTTGCTCGCTTAGCTGCAGACGCACCCTTGGGAATGTATCTTCTGAAGCCTAACGGTGAGCCACTATATCTCAACGATGCATACTTCAAGATACTCGGCTTCACCAGGGAGGAATTTGAAGAAGCCCAGCGAAGCGGTCTTGGTTGGGGCGATAGAATCCATGAGGACGATCAAGCCAAGGTCGGTGAAGCATGGGTAGCCTTGGCCGAGCGAGGCATTCCACTGAATCTTGAGTACCGCATCAAGAAAGATTGGAAGTATATTGATGAAGCAACCGGCCTCGAAATGAATGGCGAGACTTGGCTCCAAGGTACAGCTATAGCTGAGATTGGCATTGATGGCTCTGTGGTCGCGGTACAAGGCTTTGTCACGGAAATCTCTCTGAAGAAAGCTTCAGAACGTCTGCTGAGCGAGAAACTCGAGGATGCTCTTGAACACAAACGTCAGGCCGACCGGTTCATCGACATGACTTCCCACGAGATGCGCAACCCACTTTCGGCCATCTTGCAATCTGCCGATGGTATTCTGACGACCCTGGAAAACAATAATCGCTTGGGCATCATGTCTGGGATAACAACTTTCAGCAGTGATGCACTCGAAACCGTTCTTGATGCGGCTCAAACCATCATTCTTTGCGCTCAACATCAGGGACGTATCGTGGATGACATTTTGACTTTGAGCAAGCTTGACTCAAATCTGCTTGTTGTATCACCAGATACAGTAGACATGCCGTCCCTGCTGGAGAAATGCTTCAAGATGCATGAAGCAGAACTGATCAGAGCCAAGATTGGAATTAGCCTGCGTATTCACGAGGGTTTCCGCAACCTGGCTGTCGGAAAAGTTATGCTAGATTCCAGTCGCTTACTGCAGGTCATCATCAACCTTCTGACCAACGCCATCAAATTCACACAATTTGCCAGCCACAAGGAAATTACTGTCCATCTTGACGCCTCCTCAACCCGACCTAAGGAAGGCATGTATGGAGCCCCCTATGTCCCTTTCCGCGCGAACAGACCTGAACACCACTTTACGGCAGAATGGGGAACTGGCGATGAAATTTTCCTGTCGATATCAGTTCAAGACAGCGGAAAGGGCATGAATGAGGAAGAGCTAAAATTGCTTTTCAACCGCTTCTCTCAAGCCAGCCCAAAAACTTACAAGCAATATGGAGGCAGTGGTCTCGGTCTCTTCATCTCGAGAGAACTCACAGATCTTCAAGATGGCCAGATTGGTGTACACAGCGAGCCTGACCGAGGCAGTACTTTCAGCTTTTACATCAAAGCCAGAAGAGCAGTGGACGAAGACGAGACCGTGGCAGAAGGGAGATTGACCACTCCAACACTCAACACATCTGTCACCTACACCCGCGACCCTGCTTCCAATGCTCTCGAAGCAAGTGTTGACAACGCGCAACACGACAATACTCAGCATGTGATTCGCAAAATGGCTGCAATATCCAATGACCTTGCCGAAGACAAGCCACACCTGCATGTCCTTGTAGTAGAGGACAATATCATCAATCAGAGGGTGAGTAGAGTGTGACACAGTGGTTGTATTCTTGCTAACTTTCATCATAGGTCATGGCTCAGCAACTACGCCGGTTAGGTTGTACAGTACACCTCGCAAACCACGGTCTTGAAGCTCTAGAGTTTCTTCGCAAAACCTCTTTTTGGGCATATCACCCTCCTCCGTCACGAAATGAGGAAGCACCAAGTCCGAGGACCGTGCCGCACTCAAACACTATCCCTCTCTCTGTCGTCCTCATGGACCTCGAGATGCCTGTCCTCGGTGGCCTCGAAACAGTCAAGAGAATCAGATGTCTGCAGAGCGAAGGCAGTATCATCAGTCATGTCCCCGTTATTGCTGTAACGGCCAACGCGAGGAGTGAGCAGATCGCTGTTGCCATTGATCATGGCATGGACAGCGTTGTGACGAAACCTTTTAGAATTCCTGAGCTGGTTCCTCAGATGGAGGATCTGGTCGAACGAGTACAGCAAGGTAAGACTGGCAGGTCTTCTGTCGCGAAAGGATGAATAGCATGTTTGTATGATTGAACGGTCGGTATGTGGATATATTCCAAGGCGTTTTGGGTGGGCATATCATTGGAATGAGCTATGGAGATACCATTTAGGCATGGCTTGACATGCATTGGAAATTTTTTACTTTTTTCTTTCGGATATAGCTATATAATGGATTTAGAAGGCATAGAAGACCATACATTTAGCATATGCTTCCAGTCCAAGTTGTTGAATCCAAGTTGTGAATCCTTCTGATTCGTCTTGCTCCTGCCGTCGGCTGTTTTGCTTGGCATTCTGCCCAATCACCAACTCTTCCACCTTTGCGACATTGATTTGAAACATCAGACGCTTTTCGTCGTACCTGATTGCGGAATCGTGCCTATCGTACTGACCTCAATAACCAGCATCCAGCAGCACTCATCGACTTCCTTGCGACTTGGCAGCACTGACCACTTGCTCGCAGATCCAGCGCCTCGATCACCGTTTGACCTCTTTCTCTCCGCAACAAGATCTTCAAGACTTGAATATTAGTGCTGCGTTGCTTGCTATGGGAAGAGAAGTGTGATTGAGTACTGTTTGTTTGGCCTTTTCTTGCCGCTCTTTGATGTTTCTGGTGGTTTGGTGTGTGGGCCGGAGATGGCTGATGGAATTCTCGCAAAGGAACTCAGGCTTTGAGACATTTTGGATGTCGGCTCTGGAGTTGCCAGGCTTGCTCTGAATTGGTTGCGAATGAAATGCTGCGATCACGACCCTGGGTTTTGAGCTCCGCAAATCAATTTTGTGCTCGTTGCGTCGTCATGGACTTTGATGGATATCTTGAGCAACTTGAAATCAGATGCGAAAGTTCTCAAATCCGATAGCGACACCTTGATAGCAGACCGAAGACGAATGAAAGTCACACTGATGTTTGGGATTATTTGATGCGCTCATCAACAAAGTGTTTGCCATTTCCAAGCCGAACTCTCTCTCTCGATGCTGCAGGCTGCGACGCACATGGCAAAAATGTGAATCACCACAGAAACTCAATGCGATGATTTGAGCGGCTGCAACCAGATATCTCGCATACCAACTCACCACATGAGCAAGTTTCCTCGCAAGAAAAAAGTAGTAGGTGCCTAACCAAGTATAAGAAAGCTTTCATCCTTCCATTTCTCTTTTCCTTTCCATCTTCATCCCATCTGCCCGTCATCCACTCCACAAGCAAAACAGCTGCACGAAACTACAAGTCTCTCATCTCAACATTTCTACTCTGCAAACACATTCATCCATCATGCATTCCACCTCAGCATACGTCTTCTCCAACGACGCTCGCGCCACAGCGTTTCGCCGTGCCGTTAGAAGCAGAGTCGCTCACAGTCAAGAATACGCAATGCCTGGCTTAGGAGCCAGTGCTCAGGAAGTACAGAGAGAATTTCTTAGGTACTGTGCAGAACAAGATCAAGGTCAGAGCGACGGTGCCCAACAGGCTCCTCCACCATATACACCATCCACCGACACCCAGGTTCCATCATCAGCCATGTTGCCCCGGGAGAATCAGGGTCCACCACCATACACATCTACTCCTACCTCCGACATGACACCGACTGCGCGTTTGGACTTCCTGCTTTACAGCAATACTTCCACCCCACCGCTGCCGCCGGATTATGCTGAAGCCATCTCTGCACCACCACCACCACCACCACCACCACCGCGTTACGGGAATGTCATCTCTGCCCATACACCAACGAGCAGTAGCAGAAACACAGACCAAAGATTTTCTCATCAACCCATCAACAATCTCTCCACAGGTTGCACAACACGCACACCCAAGAAACAAATCCACAACAAAGCTATCCAAGCACTTGAAGTAGTTGTCTTGCCTGGCAATGGGATTGAGGTATCTCCCAAGTACTCATCACCAAAGAAAACAGGAATTTTGAGAAGGATCAAGGATAGAGTGTAACATTCTGCTGACTCTTTTCCCTTGTGTAAGATATGCAAGGGTTTTTAGTGAGAAGCAACATAGATTAGAAATAGACTGGGCGGAAAGTTGGAAGTATCAAGTATTCATCAAATTGATTTTTTGGAAAGATATAGTCGATATTGTGTTATGTGAAACATGGTGTGAGGTATCGCAGCTCTGCTTTGTTCTGTCCCCGATAGTCATGTCATCCTGGACTTCTGAACTTACTCGAGATCATTTTTGGTTGTCTTTATGCTTGGTGACTCTGTTGTTGGAAAGGGCACTTATGATGTGGTCCGAACAGTGGTATGGCTGCTGCCGAGTTACCCCACAGTTTGCTTACAAGGTGGGTCTCAAGGCGCTTGCGCTAGCCCTTTGAATTTGCTGCCCCACTACTCCGTTTGGTGACGCTCATCATGTTTGTAAGCAATGGAGAGAAGTCAAGGGGATGCTGACTTCTTCTCTTCACTCGAAAGAGTCACTGCTGTCACATTACACGATCCATCGAGTCACAGCGAAAGCGACGAAGAGAATAAAGGCTTTGCTTTTGGGTTCCAGACAACCTTCAAAGCATTTTCGAGGTTTCAATCTCCAAGCACTGGTATGTCTATTTGACAGCTCTTATCTTGATCACATTTTTGACCACGTGCGCTGGATCAGTTCACTATGAGTCTGCAAAGTACTGGACACAGCAATGTCCCATCGACCATGATTGGAGTTGTCCTCACTGGCCATGGCGGTTTTGAAAAACTGCAGTATCGCAAAGATCTAAACATACCTTCGCCAGGGCCCGACGAAGTGTTGATTCGGGTCGCTGCTGCAGGAATCAATAATACCGACATCAACACACGTATCGGATGGTATTCCAAAGGCGTCGAGACTGGCACGGGCGAAGAAACTTCCAATGCCTCTGCTACAAGAACAGACGATGATTCCACTTGGTCTGGCAAACCTCTGGAGTTCCCAAGAATTCAAGGTGCGGATTGTTGTGGTCGCATCGTTGCTGTGGGTGATAATATCAGCACCCAGCGTATTGGTGAAAGAGTTCTCGTGCGCAATATGCTGCGCTCGTATGTCGATTACCGCCCTTACGAGTGCTGGACTTTTGGATCAGAATGCGATGGCGCGTTTGCTCAATATGCCAAGGCGCCTGCTCGTGAAACGTACAAGATCGATTGCGACTTGAGCGACACGGATTTGGCTTCTGTGCCTTGTGCATGGTCCACTGCCGAAAACATGCTCCATCGTGCTGGAGTTAAGGACAAGGAAAACGTCGTCATCACTGGTGCATCCGGCGGTGTTGGTGCTGCAGCGATACAACTGGCAAAGAGACGTGGAGCTCATGTTGTCGCTATAGGCAGTGCTGACAAGGCGGACCAATTGCTGGCTCTTGGAGCCGATCGCGTCCTTGCGCGAGGAAGCGATCTTGTCAAGCAAGTGGGCAAGGACGTCATAGACGTCGTCCTCGATCTCGTTGCTGGGTCAACATTCCCTGAACTGCTGGATGTTCTCAAGAAAGGAGGACGGTATGCCGTCGCTGGTGCCATCGCCGGACCAATCGTTAAACTGGACGTTCGAACACTGTACCTCAAAGACCTAAGTTTCTTTGGTTGCACATTCCAAGAGGACGAGGTGTTCACCAACCTCATCTCGTACATAGAGCGTGGTGAGATTAGACCGCGTGCTGGAAAGGTCTATCCCCTCGACGAAATTGTGACCGCTCAGCAGCACTTCAATTCCAAGTCGACCTGCGGGAAGCTGGTGCTGTCAATACCCTGATTCTCTTGTCTGGAAAAACCCCAAGCGTGCTATCATGAAGCATTGCTGGAAGGCCTGGCGTTCAAGGACAGCGCGACCATGGACTGGGAAGTGTAAGAAAGAAGTAGAACAACCATTGTACGCTTGCTGAGTGTGCTGTGGTGCTAATGGAGTGGTTGCACGGAGGAGATAACCACCAAAGAAATGCGAATTGTGGCCCTGTCCAAGGAATTTTGTCGTCAAAAGAAATTCTCAATGATCAGAGCGATTTGTGTGAAGGCCTTATTACAAGGTTATGATGTTGAGTCAAATGACACATTGGACGCCCTGTCGATACGTTGGTATTGCTCAAAGTCCCAGATTAGTTCGGAGCCATATGCTTGTTGCAGTATCAACCACGAAACACTTTCTTGGGTCGACCAGAATTTCATGGAGCGGATGTCGGTATACTGCGTGCTTGTGTACGGCAGGGGCAAGATGCCACTGAAATCGATCAGAAACACTCCCACTGCCATGCATCAGTTCGCAATGATCAGCTCCAATGACAGAAGTTCTCACTCCAGCAGACCAAGATTGAAATCTGGAATAAGATCGCAAAGGACTGAACAAAGAAAGAGGTTCGTTGTCGTCCATCGGCGAGTTGCGACGATTCGGGCTTGGCACATCACACCACAAACCGTGCGCACGGAGCACAAATCACGCCGCCCATCACCAGTTCGCAGGATTCTTGTCACCTCACCCATCACGTTTTTTGCCAATTTTCGCATTGCCGCGTCCAGACTCCGTGAGGCGCATGCCGCAGCCTCCCGATATCCCCAGATCTTGAGGTGTCTGGAGCTGTCAAATGCGAATGTTGGCTTGGCGAATGCAGGGGAAACAGTCGGACTGGGTGTGTCGCCTGTCATCTGCTGATCTGGTGATACCTTACCAAGCGGACGTGGTAGACCGGATGCCTGCGTGAACCGCTGTTGTGGTTCCGGATCCAACACACTTTCGTACGCAAGCATTGTAGGTAGCCATTCTATAAGTATACCGTACCTCTGTTGTTGTGTAACCTTTTTTCTCTTCCATCATCATCATCAAGCAAACAACAATAACCAAACCACATCTCCACTCTACAATCTCCACTCTATCGATCGATTCGATCAACAACATCTCCTCTCCACACACCAACAAAACCTCCACATCAACAATGGCATTCAGACCAACTCAGTCCCGCGCCTTCTTCCGCACCCTCAGAAACCTGATTCGCGAGGAGCATCCTTTCGCACGCAATACTGCCACTCTACTTCCACACGCTCATGACAACTCGCTACTCATGCGTCGCACCGTGCGCACTGCAACCACATTCATTCCCTTCTTTATGTAAGTGTGTCCAAGGCCTACTTCAATTTTCCTTTCCCTTTTCGGATGGCTAACAACAAGCCAACAGTACTGTACTAGGCTGGCCCTGGATGGCAGCATCCGTACTCAGAAAAACTGGCATCTGACTCTTGATGCCCGCCTACATTCTCGTCGATGGCATGGGTCCTTCTGAGAGAACTTCGTTTGCTGTGGGTGATACACAGCCCAGCGATCTGTTACCGTTGCCAGTTTCTCAATGAGCAATGAGCAATGAGCATCATGGCTATCAAGACGCATACCTGAATGATCTTCAGTCTTGAGATTTTCTCTTTTTTTCGTTTGCTTTGTTTTCTTGTCTGGCTCGTTTGAGACTTGCATAGGTCTAGGCGTTCTTCACTGGTTTGTTATATGGTGGTGTTGGTCTTGTCCTTTCTTCTTTGTTGTAGATATTTGCATATGCAAAAGCTCAAATGTTATGACTGCTACTTCACCTCTTCTTTCACATGCATATCAAAAACATTGGTGCCAATGGAGCCCAAGCAACTGAGGGGAACGTAGCCTTTACTGGAATAAAGCGACGCACTATTAGTCTTCTCGCATCAAGAATTAGCAGCATTTGTGTCACGGCCTTGAGTAAAGTTGAAGATTGGAAAGTGTGTAAATTGTGGATATCTATAATACAGATGCTTGTAAGAAGCGGCCGACACGGATCAAGAAGTTCTGCGCGAAGCTTCCAACAAAGGATCCGTCTCGGTAGGTTCGTGCTCAGTATGGTCTTCTGCTTTCTCCTTCTGGTAGAACATGATGGCCATAACCAGCAAAGCGCCCTGCAAAACGCCAGTGACGCAATAGACGAACCATGTACTCCAGCCCTCCCAACCAACTCTCAACCACAGACTGAAAGCAAACACAAAGGCTCCGGGCACTTGAATGAGCATACTTACGATGCTGAGGGACAAGACTTGCTTGGCTCTCCAGGTAGTGTAGAGCTGCGGGATGTATTGAATAGATGAGAGGATTGCAGCGAGGATGCCGAGGAAGTTTGCCCAGCTGAGGAGATGAGAAGGGAGGCGGTAGAGGAAGAGAGTTGAGATGAGACCGGCAAGGAGGAGAGAGACCAAAGAGACTACACCGACAATAACAGCGTCGCGCTTGCGAGGCGTGTCCGGGGGAAGGTGCTCAGGCGGTGGGTTTGCAAAAGCATCTCTGGGGAAGAAGACCAGGAACAGCACCATGCTGTATTCCCAGCGTCAGCATATTTGGAAGCTCAAAAGAATAGGTGAAGTTAGAACTGACATGGTCATGAAGCAGATCCACTGCACGCCAATCTGCACAACACCCAACAGTGCAGCACCACAAGCCTTGCCAGAAATCTCGCGACAGCAAGCCATATCATGCTGGCTGGTCGGCAAAACCAAGATGTTGGCAAGGGCGGCGATGGAAGATACCGTGCCCAACAAGACCCACCATGGCGAGAGACCAGCAGAGGTGCCATGACGGACAATCTTGACATGTTGTGGGATGTACGAGATCAAAATGCCGAGCACGAGTTGGCTGGTCACGGGCAAGTCAGCACCTTGATGGGCATTGTTGACACCGAGATAACTACACAGAGAGAGCGAGCACCCAGCCATTCGGCGATGCGAGATGTTCGCAGTACGGGTCTGCCATCATGATTAAGCCAAGTCGCGCGGACGACTGGTGATTTAAAGAGGATTCCTGATGGTTTTGAAGGTCTCGAGTGATGAGACAAGGCGATCCGTGATGAAGGTCAGGCGAGATGCAACAAGCTGTCGTTGACCGTAAGATTACGCGACGCGTCAAAGACCCTCAGCTTGGCGTTGACGTCACTTTTCACCGTGTTTACACCCTCACCTTGACCTCAACCTCGACCATCTTAACCATGTCCAACAAATACAATGGCGTGCTTGCAAATGCTCGAGTACTAGTGCTTGGTGGCTCTTCAGGCATCGGCTTCTGCGTAGCTGAGCATGCCCTGTCCTTAGGCGCTATCGTCACTATCTCCTCCTCTCGCCAGTCCAAGCTGGACGACGCCTTGAAAAGATTGAAAAGTTCAATGCCCGATGTAGCGGACAACGCCTATGGTCAAGTCTGTGATCTATCTGATGTCAAATCAATCCGCCCAAACCTCGAGACGCTGCTCAAGACCATTACATCCACACAACTTTTAGACCACATCATCTTCACTGCCGGCGATGGCATCAAGATCAGACCCGTCGCCGACCTCCACCTCGAAACCATCCAAAAACTGGGCCATGTCCGCTTCTTTGGTCCTATGCTACTCGGCGGTCTTGCAAAAGACTACATGAAAAGTACCAAGACCTCTTCCATCACTCTAACCAGCGGCACAAACATCAAAAAGCCAGGCAAAGGATGGACCACGGTCGCTGGCTACGGTGCTGGCACTGAAGGCATTGCAAGAGGTCTCGCTGTTGATTTGGCTCCGATTCGTTGCAATGTTGTCAGTCCGGGTGCTGTACACACTGAAATGTTTGACGATATTCCGGAGGACAGATTACCTGCTGTGTTGGAGAACTTCCGCAAACGAAGTTTGACGGATAGTGTTGGTACACCGGAAGAGTTGTCGGAAGCCTACATCTACTTGATGAGATGTTCATTCGCTACCGGTTCTCTGATCGAAGTAAATGGCGGCTCCCTGTTGGCATGATCATGTGACCTTTCTGCTCAAAAAAAAAAAAAAGAAAAGAAAAGAAAAGAAAACAAAGCGGTATCGTGTGCAATCCTGGTTCGTTCGCTATACTGATTTAAGATAACCGAGATTATGATTGATGTGAGCGTGTCTTAACATGTGCCAGCAAACTGGGGTTGACAGAAGAAGCTTTGTGGAGAAGAAAGGCAAACCCGCGCGCCAGCCACGAGGCGGCGGCCATGACGACACCTCAAACTCTACCTTGCAGAGCAAAGCGTATCACGATGAGATGCCCAGATGCATCGTCTTGCGACCACATCAAGAACCAATGATGTCGGCCAGTTCGTATTTACAGAGCTCACTTGTCACCTATAATAAGAAATTTTGGGTCTCAGGAGTGCGACTCCATGTTGTGTATTAGTGAGTGTGAATGGCGATTCCTGGATGTGCTTTTGCTCACTTCACCCTCAAGTTGATCTACTCGCGAACTCACACCCCGCGGCTCGTGCGATCGAAGATTTTGTAGATCATCCTCAGCCACGAATCTGGATACTCCGCAGATGTCGCATACGCGGCTGATGCATAGAGAAAATAGATGACGGGCCCGCACCTTCTATCTCCGCCTCTTTGGGCGTTGTGGACACAGCTCCGAACCTTTTCTAACTTATTGGAGGGGTAGAGGCTGGCTTCTCTGACGTCAAGGATCTACTGGTGGTCTTGTGCGTACTTAGACTCTTGCTTTCGCGCGTCTCTGTGCTTGCACTTCAAGCGGAAGGACTCCAACAAACACATCGCAACCATGGCGTTCTCACACACTGGATTCATTGGTGATCGACTGACTGGTAAGGCGCTGGAAATAGGCGTTTGTGCCACAGCATCTGCTGGATTTCTCTTGTTCGGCTATGGTCAGTCCAAACATTGTCTCTGCAACCTGATCTCATCTAATTGCAGTCACAGATCAAGGAGTCATGAGTGGCATCATCACAGAACCTGGATTTCTTGCCGTCTTTCCGAAAATGAACAGTAACTACAAGAAGGGCGCCATTCAAGCCCTTGTGGTTGCAATCTACGAAATTGGCTGTCTCCTGGGCTCTTTCTTCATCATTGGCTACGGTGACAAGCTTGGCAGAAGACGCGCAGTCCTCGTTGGGGCTTTGATTATGCTTGTTGGAACTGCTATACAGGCTTCGTCCACCACACTCGCCCAACTGATCGTAGGACGGTACTACATGTTCCCGCTTGCAATATACAATCACAGTATGCTAAATTTACACCAGAATAGTCACTGGCGCTGGAAATGGCATGAATACTTCCAGTATCCCGGTTTGGCAATCGGAGATGGCACCCCCCAAAATTCGAGGTTTTCTTGTACTCTTCGAGGGCGCGCTTATAACAGGCGGCGTGATGGTGTCTTATTGGATAAATTATGGCTTCTGGTTCTACAATAAGAGCTCCTTCCAGTGGCGCTTCCCTATCGCCTTCCAGTAAGGTGTTTCGCCCACCCAAATCTGAGATTTTGCTGACTGTATCTTGACCACAGGGCTGTTTTTGGAATCATTCTTATCATCGGCATTCTCGCTTTTCCAGAATCGCCTCGATGGCTCCTCAAACATGGTAGAGAAAAGGAGGCTGTTCAAATCATGGCCCGTCTCAAGCGATCGAATACCGATGACGAAGACTTGATGAAGGAGGTCAATGAGCTTAAGAAGATCAATGAGATCACAGCAGGCACAAAGCTTACCTTCAAGGAGTTCTTTTCGAACGGACCCGACATGAACTTGTGGAGAGCCAGCGTGGCCTTTGCTGCGCAAGCGTTTCAGCAGATCGGTGGAATAAACCTTGTCACTTACTGTAAGTCTTGGAAGCACTCTTCACTCAAAAATCGTGATACTGATAGTACAGATGCAACCGTGGTCTTCGAGGATTCCCTCGGCTTCAATCCAACATTCGCGAGACTTCTCACGGGCGTCCTGGGTACAGAATATTTCCTCGCTGCTTTGGTCGCTCTTTTTGTTGTGGATCGTCTAGGAAGACGCCGACTCATGATGTGGAATGCAGCAGGAATGGCTCTGTCTATGATGGTAGCCGGCATCGGTCTCGCATCAGGCACCAAAAGCGGTGCATACGCAGCGACCGTCATGATTTTCCTCTTCAACACCTTCTTCGCTATCGGCTGGCTTGGAATCACCTGGCTCTACCCAGCAGAAGTCACACCCATCCGTATCAGAGCTGAGGCTAACGGACTTTCGACATCTGCGAATTGGCTGTTCAACTACGCCGTTGTCCAGCTTTCGCCCATCATGATCAATTCGATCGCATGGAAGACTTACTTTGTCTTCATGTGTTTCAACTTTTCCTTTATCCCTGTTGTCTACTATACTTTTGTTGAGACCAATGGGTACAAACTCGAGGCCATGGACGAGATATTTCACATCGCCCACCAGAACGGCGAGAACCCTGTCAATGTTGAGAAAAGGGTTCGCAAGGGCAATACCGATGCATTGGGAGAACTAGAGAAGAGGTCTTCTGTAGGGAGCAATGGCGACAAAGTGGAAGACGAGAAGAAAGAGGATGCAAACGCAGAGTAGAACATTCTCTTTGCAGATTTGAAACACAACGCTCAATAATAGTAGCGTCGCGCTCACGGAACAATGCAAAAAGACTCAAAATCTCGCTCTGACATCTCAGACATGCATTTGTGCTTCGAGTAAGACACACAGAGCAAGATGTCTCACAAAACTCCTGTGATGTCTTGCTGTGATCTATTCACGAATCCGTGAAGCATCAGAGCTTCTATTCTTGTCCAACAATCCTAATGATGCGTGTTCGTGCAAAATCAGTACACGTTATAAGATAAGTCTGCACCAGCCTCGACGACAATCAATACAACTCAGGCTATACACCAGTCTTCAAGCTCAAACAGCAATATCTTTGCACCCGCAAACTCATACTTCAGACTATCCGCGAGCTCAACTACATCCATCTACCACCTTCCCGGTGTCCAAATGATCTCACCCTCTCAAGCCATGTTCCCATCTGGAGGAGCAACCACCCGACTTGGCTACGCCGGCTGCGATGCGATCCTGAATACCGTGCTTGCCCATTGTCCTGATTGGGCTGAATGGGCAGAAATCCAGTAAGATGCCCTCGAGTAGTTTCACACGTTTGCGCATTAGCTGATTGATAAATTACACAGGAACGTCAAGTACCCCACTCCGGAGGAGCCTTGGTATCATATCATTGTGCATTATGGGTGTTCGTTAGGATACACATTGAGTTTTCTTACTCTTTAGATAGACTCATGCCTTGCCGCCATAAGAAATCGATGCGTCTCACAAGTTCCACCAAGAAGAGCACCACGACTTGGTCACATCTTGCAGAGGTCAACGGGACGTAATTTTGAACAGTATGGTTAGAACCCGCTGACTAGCAGCGCTCTCCAAGATATGCATCATACATTCTTCTCGTTAATCAATGACTCCCTTTGGTAAAAAGACCACATAGTCTAATGGAGCTGGCTCGATGCCATTAGGTGTACCAACAATCTCTAGGATATCACCCTCCTTCACTGCAATGTCTGTGAAGGTGGTTCTCCTTGCCGAATGCCCATCCAAGTAGATCGAAGGCGTGTGACCAAGATAGTCTTCACTGTCTCCAGCCCAAGTTGCAATGGTCTTGTTGTTGATCAACATCTCGTACTTCGAGACTCCTCCATACATGTCATAGAAATTGACTCCGACATCATAAGTGCCGGATTTAAAATGTAGAGTAGTTGATACAGAGCCAGTCGTACTGTTATCGCTAGTAACGACTGCATGATAGTTGGATGCCGTCTCAAATGGACTCACAGCATATGTTTTGTACCCGTTCAAGGTCATGTCCTCGGCTTCGATGCGGTATGGGTGGTTGCCAACTCGGCCGTGCTCATCTGCGATGCCAGAGATGTTGTGGTAGAAATCGACAATGGCATCTCTCCAAACAAGTGAATGGCCAGCTTGGTACTTCAGTCGATAAAGCTGTTCGTCAAAGCGTTGGCTGTCAATCTTGCCTTCGAGCGACTGCCATTGAGGAGCAAATGTCTGCGCTGTGTCCGCGCCGGCATAGTGGGCATCGTAAAAGTGTTGAATGACAGTCTTTCCGGACTTGAGCTTTTGGGTATAGTTGACGTGGTGGAACCATAAGAGCAGATTGTCTGGAGTCATCTCGATGTTCTCGTACATCGCTGCGATTTCGGGCGGATAGGTTCCAGCATATCCTGTACCGTTGGAGACAGTTCTGTCCATGCCGATTGTGGTGTGATCGGCTCGAGTCCACTGACCCCACCCATTGTTGTCTTGCGATTGAGGATCAGGTCCAAAGTGGGTGTACAAGATGTCAGTCAGAGTTTGAATGCCAAGATTACCACTGTAATTCTCATAGGCTGGCCAGGATTCAATAGCCATGTTGGTAATGGTGTCGACAACATTTTGATCAAGACCAAATGTCAAGCGCGTCCAATCCTCGTGGATCTTAGTAGTGTCTTCAGCAGGGTTCCAAGCAAGTCGACCGTAAGCGTAGAAGTTTGACATGGAGAGGTGACTTCCAAGCCAAGTTTGATTTGTTCCCACATTGACCACTGCAGCATAGCCACCTGACGATCGATTGAAGGTTCTACCAGCAATGATATCTCGAACCAGTGATGTCTCATTGTCAATGCGCATATCAAAGCCAAGAACCGTATCCCAAAGCGGTGGAAGGTAGACCAAATGAGTCTGCTGACCGAGATACTCTTGGGTAACTTCGAGCTCAATCGCTGTGTTAGTATGGAACAAGTTTGCAAACAGCGGCGATGCAGGCTCTCTGACTTGGAAATCGATCGGCCCGTACTTGATTTGCACAACAACGTTGTCGTCGAATTGGCCATCCAGCGGCTTGAAGAAATCGACAGCAGCATTTGCACGATCGGCTCTCCAGTCACTCTCGTTTAACTGGTTGTAGACGAACGCACGGAACAACACTCTGCCGCCGTGTGGTTGTAGAGCTTTCGCGAACAGATTTGCTCCTTGCGAAAGGGTGCGGTTATATGTGATCGGACCCGGCTGTCCTTCGGAGTTGGCTTTTACAAGGTAACCAGCCATGTCTGGAATACGCTCGTATATCTGATCTGTGACGTTTCCCCACCAAGCAATGACGCTGGAGTCGAGAGGATCGAATGTGGTGAGATTGGCTTGACCTTGGACACCAGATGTGGGAGAAGCGAAGTAAAGTGACAAACCAATTTGCACACCATACGGACGCATTGTATCGGCGATCCTTCCGACACCATCAATGTTCTGTGGCGAGAGAATAGATGCGTTGGCGTTGACGTTGTTGATGACAATGGCATTGATGCCGACTGAGGCAAGTAGACGCGCATACTCAGCCACGCGAGTCAGATCGTTGACAATCGTGCCATTTGCAAAGAAGATCGAGGCACCGCCGTATCCACGCTCAATGCTGCCGTCTAGATTGTCCCACTGGTTGACCCATCGGATGGGTGCGTCTGGGTTGGATGCATATGCAACAGAGGAGAAATTCGCTTGTGCCAGCATTGACAAGTACTCAACCGCTCCATAGAGTGCGCCTCTTTCGTTCTGACCAATGATCTGGACGACATTGTTTTCCGTGCTCAGCCAGTATCCATCCTCCTTGAGGTCCACAGCTTGAGTGAGGTTGCCGTAGGTAGCCACGTATGCGTCAAGCGTGCCAACAATGATAGATTCGTCAGGCTTGCCGTTCGAAAGATGGCAGTCCTGACCAAGGATGCTCTGGATACCACGCTGCAACTCTAGGCCTGCCGTGTAAACAGGACTTGTTTTGGTAGTATTTAGGACGACAATGTGTTTCGGCACTGACGGCCACGATATTGAAGACGGTAATGGAGCATATCGCAACCAGCCGTCAATGCCAGTCTCCGCAAGAGCAAGTCCGAAGATTGCGAAGAATGTGAAAAGTTGCATGTTGATGTGACAGGAAGAATGCCTTTGCCAGGTTCTCGGATATGCCCCTTCCATTAAATAGATTCAATGCGGGGTGATATACCGCAGGCGGCACATCACTTTTCGATGATGTGGAGATGCAGATCTGGAGAGGGGAATTTGGCCGTGTCAATTTAGCCTATGCATTCTGCAAGTTTGGGGTCATGTCGATCTCGGGTTTTGACATGAACTTTCTTTCGCAAGCGATTTTGGCTATTGTGATATCAAATACCGGCGGGCCTCAGATTGGAGTCTTGGTATTGCACGATCATAGCTACGCGCAGTGATGTTTATGATACCACTTCCCCTGTACTCTAACATCTGATGATCGCTTGAAGTAGTCCTTTTCCTGGCCGATGTCATGCCTTTACCCCTTATTCTGATATACTCCTAGCCAAATGGTCTTAACTCAATAGCTTAGGCACAATCCCGCTAGCGTGCAGCTACGAAGCCGGGAATGAAGATTGAGCATGGATCTTGGCAGTCTCGGATCCGAACGCGAAGAAGAGAGCTTGAAAACTCAATGTGTGACAATTCCGATGCGCCTCTGTCAATCAAGCATATCTTCAACGCTATTCGGACTGCATGCACGGATGCAGCAGCTCGAGAACGTTCGACTTCTTCCATCCTCAGATGGATTGTCTCAGACACTGCAAATCTACTCTTCTGCTTTGAGCTCTTGTTTCATCTCTCGCTGCGCGTCACACAGACCTCCGACTTTGCTTCCACCTCTGCAGACCCGACAACTTCTCCCGTGCGCGATCATAAGAAAGTGCAAGTCGAATTTCAACTCGGTAGGAATCTTTGCATCCAAATGTTGTTGCGTCTTCTCCACGGTTGTCTCTTTGGGTACCCAGTTCCAAAGCTTGGCAATGCGATAACAATGCGTGTCTACGATGAAAACGTTTCGCTTCAAACACCAGGATAGAACCACACTGGCAGACTTGGTTCCGATGTATTTGTACTGCAGCAATTCTTGCATAGCTTGCTCGTTCGGAAGACTAATGATGTGATTCAGATCCCAGGAACTGTTTTGTTCTTGCACTTGTCTGAGTATGGTCATGATGATTTTGGCTTTGCGGATGTGTAGGCCACCAGGTCTGAGGGCTTGTTGTAGTACTTCTTCTCCTCTGTTCAGTATATCGTCGTACGCAAACAAGTCGCCATAGGTACTGCGAAGACCTGCCATTGCGCGCTTTGCATTACTCCAAGATGTTGCTTGGGAAAGGATTGCAACAATCATGGCGTCCAGAACATTGGCTATGGTCTCCGGAGTGTCTGGATCTGCAAATTCTTGGGCGACGTCCTCATGGTGCAACTTGTGCAGAACAGTATGAGCAGTTCTGCACTCACTGGAGGTTGGGTGTGTAAAGGCAGGATACGGAGATGAGCTTGAGTAGGTGGACCAAGAAGTCCATTTCTTGTTTGCAAGGTCGTCAGTGGCTGCAGAGGTTGTGTTGGGATCAACGACTGCTGTGACTACCGCATCTTTCGCTTTTCGAGCGATGCTGCCATTTCGTGACTTGGTGCCTTGCTTGCCGATGCCATGCTTTTCCGCGCTCGCAGGTCGGCTCCCGGTCCTGCTAGAAGAGGCAGACTTGGTAATTCCTCCTCGTACGGCTTTGGTGGCAGACCTTGTGGATGGGCCCATTGGACAAAGGTTCCGAGCACAGGATGGCCTTGGATGATTTGCAAACTAGGTAATAGAAGTGCGTAGCCAAAGGCAAGTTCGATCATGGAAGGAGAGATAGATGCAAGTGAAAAACATAGACAGTTAACAATGACGGAAATGACAAACAGGTCGGACTTGGCGATAGGGCAGACTCAACGTGATACGGAAGGCTGGGAAATTTAAATGGTATGCCGCGATCTTGAGCCACGATCATCAAGTCAACGGTCAAGCAATGATCGCAGCTGCAACCAGGGTTGAGATTCTTGAAAGCAAAAAGCGACAAATGCTTGGCGACGGGCTACAGAGACAATATCGGGGCTGGAGTACAAAAATTCAGTGGCTCAAGAAAGGTCAAGCAGCATGACTCCAAGTTCATCGCGGAAGACCTGACATGATGAGAAAACGTTTTTAAGGCGGTGACAAGCCGATACGTTCAATGCTGAAAGTTGACGCGCAGAAATGGTGTGACTTGGAAAACAGGAGCTCGTCAAAATTCTGAACATGGACAAGCAGCAAAGGAGCTCAAGAAAAAAACAGAGGGGGATGAAGACAAGAAAAGGAAATGCGCATGCTTTAGGGCTGACTACATGTCGGGACGCGGATCGGCCCTCGGCTGAACTAGTGCACGCCGAACAAAAATGTTACCCTTTGTTAGAAAGTCCACAGTGTGCCTGGTCATCGAACCCATCTGTAATCTCAGAAATCGACCCACTACAGAGGCAGTGCACGTCGACAAAGTTCTTCTGCCGCCCTGGGTGCACGAGGATCTGTGCTGCATTCAATGACTTCAGGATCTGGTGCCTAAAATTTAATGGAGAGCAAGTTCTTCATGTCATTATAAAAGGGCATGAAAGTTCAAAAGCATCTTCCAATTGCGACACACTTAGCTCGATTGATCTGCTCAATTCATTTGCTCCATCATGAGCTCCGACAGCTACCCTCTTCGCGCTTCAGGCATCTATCGCAACTTACCAACCTTTGATCCTTCCATCAAGGGACTCAAAGCAGTGGTTGTTGGCGCAACAGGAATATCTGGCTTCAATACCATCCGTTCTCTTCTCGACTCCCCCCAAAGATGGCCCACTATCTATGCCTTGTCTCGCAGCCCATTGACGAAAGAAATGCTTTTACTTCTCAGCCAGGAACAGCAGTCTCGCATCAAGCACGTATCCATCAACCTCACTGGTTCTGCAGACCAACTTGCCTCTCAATTGAGAGATGGTGACGTGCAGGCTGACTACGTCTTCTACAACGGCTACATCTCTCCCAAGAGCGTATCTGCCATGAACCCAAAGGCAGAAGAAGAGCTCGTGGAAGCTAACGTGCCCATCTTTGAGAACTTCTTAGAAGCACTCAAAGTTGCCGAGCTGCAACCCAAACGCATTCTTCTCCAGACTGGCGGTAAAAACTATGGCGGTCACATTGGCAGAGCGAGGTTACCGTTCATCGAATCCGATCCTCAACCCCGCCATCTGTCGAAGAACTTCTACTATCCTCAGGAAGATATGCTGAAGAAGTACTGTCAACAGCACCCAGCGACAGGTTGGAACGTCATCCGTCCTTTCGGGATCATTGGCGCCACTTCAAAAACAGGAATGAACACCTTTCTTCCCTTCGCGATCATGGCCGCCGTCCAGGCCGAGAAAAAAGAACCTCTTTTCTTTGGGGGCGACATTGAGGAGTGGGAATACGAGTACTTGCACTCTTCCGCTCAGCTCACGGGCTTCCTCAGCGAGTGGGCAGTCCTTGAAGACAAGTGCAAGAATGAAGCCTTCAACGCACATGATGGGAGTCCCATGTCCTGGGACCGCTTCTTCGAGGAGTTGGCGCGCTGGTACGGCGCTTCTGGTGTCGAGGGCCCTGAGCTGGACGACTCAAAATATCACAACGTAGTTCTTGCTGGTGGCAAAGACAGTCCTCTGGGCTACGGTCCGCCAACACGCATCAGACTCTCACGCACATTCGCCGATTGGGCCAAAGACTCTTGGAACGCAGAAGCTTGGAAGCAGATCATGAATAATTCGAACGGCAAAGTAAAATTCGATGTATTCGAGGACGAATTGGAAAATGTAAACATGGCGGACTTCGTCTACTACAAGATTGGTCAGCCGTCTTCTGCAAAGTTCCGCAGGTTCGGATTCAGTGGGTTTGTGGACACGATGGAGGCTGTTTCTGAATTGTATCAGGACTTTGCAAAGATTGGGGTAATTCCTGCACCCAAGGTCGAAGCCGCTAAGCCTATGATATAGAGAAGTTTCACTGAATATTAAAAGGTTGTGAGCTCAGTGGCCATCAGCATTGCATGTCTTGGGCACAGATCCGAGGGTAGGACTGTATACATTCTCACGTTGAAATCATAAACCTGCTCCTGACTTCTGACCATTACTCGGATAGAATTCTCCGTTACCGATGTACTGGCCCTGACCTTGATAGACCCAATTGCTGATGTACGAAGGGGTTTTGCCCTTGATATTGCCATTTTTGGTTGCATATACACCGACAAAAGAACCTGAATGCATTAGCAATCTTAGCATCGATGCCGACAAAGAAAACGTCTCACCAGTAAATCCATTGGATACAAGTGTGGCAGGAACACTCGCAATCTGCTTGACTTGACCCCCCTTGAGTCCAGCAGAGAAGGAGAAGTGTGTGATATTGTAAGCTTTTATCTGCAAATGCATGCCTTGATCACACCATTCCTGAGGGATGGGAGCAACAATCTCTTTTGGTGCGTTAGACCCTTCAGCGCGGAAGCGCAGGTAGTTGCCAGTCTTGTTCAGACGAACGATGCCAAGATCAACGTGGTAGCTTTGCGTAAGGAATAGGGTGACACCTGATTCTTCTCCAATCTCAGTAGGTGAGTACTCCACATCCACACTGTATGTGAAAAGAGTATCGGTCTGTCGACGACCAATAAAGGTGATACCATCGGTAGGAACGAAGGCAGCATCTCCAGTCAAGTTTGCACGAGATGGTAGCAATCTCAAGGTGTTTCGGTGATTCGTAGGAGAAATAGCGTAGTTCTGAATCTGAGGGAAGCGCCAGTAGGAGAAATGAGAGGGGATAGAGGAGCCGGGAGAGAAAGTGTAGTAATCAGGATCTCTCACGAAAGCCCCTGGACCACGGATGTTCTTGTTGACTGGAGGCAGAGGAGCTTCCATCTTACCTCTGACTGGACCTCCTAGAACAGGCCATTGCCCCTTCTCCCATGTTGCAGGATACAACACTGTCTCTCTGCCCATCGGCCAAGTCTCGTACTCTGGACCAGAACGAGTAGAGAGCGCGACGCCCCACCACTGTCCATTGGTATCCTGGAAGAGATCGGCATGACCAACGGTTTGGAAATACTCGGTCGTGTTGTATGCAGTGAGGATAGGGTTCTTGGGATCTGATTCGAACGGTCCTTGTGCAGACTGACCCCTTCCGATTGTGACTTGGTGCTCCTGAGCTGTACCGCCTTCAGCCAACAACAAGTAATGGTAACCATCCTTAATCATCATGTGAGGCCCCTCAGGAGGTTGCACGTTTGTTCCGTTCCACAAGAAGCGATCTGGGGTTGTGTCTCCAGAAGGCATGCTGATGTTGACTTGATGAATTTCGGTAGTGAAAGGATCACTCAGTACAGTCTTTGCAAAGGCTGAGTACAGGGTGCCATCAGTATCCCAGAATAAATCAGGATCATATCCAGGAATGCTGGTAGGAGTGACGTTCGTCCATGCGGTATTGTTGTAGGGATCTGAAGTGCTGAGATAGCCCGTGTCAGAGCCCACGCACGAGTCGATGATCCAAAACCGATGATTGTGGTATCTCAGAGTCGGTGCGTACCAGCCATCTTGCTGTCCAGTAATGTTGCCGAAAGCTGGCAGTTGTTCAGGTCTGTTGAAAGCATGACTGACGAGCTTCCAGTTCTGCAGATCCTTGCTTGCATAGATAGGGATGCCAGGGAATGCCAGGAAGGTGGAAGTTGCACAGAAGAAGGTATTGTCCCACTCCTTGACAAAGACGCAACTTGGGTCGGGGTGGAATCCAGGCAGGATAGGATTGTAGATGGTGGAGTTTTGTTGCTTGGTCGGCTGACAGTAGCTCAAGCTAGTCAAGCTCGCTGCTGCGAACAGGGAGGTAGCCTTCATTCTCCGGTCAGTTGTAGGATGTATTTAGTCGATGACTTATGGTCTGTGAGCCCCTCGCATGGTATTTATCCTGGAAGCATATTGCCAAGGATCTCTAGTGAGTTGCTGCCTCCTACCACATTGGGGTTACTGCTTGTTGGTGGTGATCAGTCATGCATCGCCCGGTATCAGGCTAAATAGGCTCGCACGGGGGCCCCTCTCGATTTCTCCATGATTTTTATGACGAAAATGCGGGGTGTGCAGCACCTCCTCCTTCCGGAGTGCGCATCCAGAGCGATCACGAATCTAGGTTCGTCAGAATTGAGAAGCAGAGGGAGCTGTAAGTCGCATAGCCTGAACAGCACTGAAAAGGAGTGTTCTGGATAGTGTAATGCCGAGTGTCAAAGTCGTTTCTCCAGCTTGCAGCCATCTGTACGAGCACTGGAAAATCCTCACAGCATGTTGCGGTGTGCGCCTTGGTCAACGAAAGTTGTGATGCTCGTGAAAGATGGAGTCCGGAGCATCACTCATGCCAACACATCTGATGTCAATGGACGTCGTGAGTGTGGTATTCAGTGCTGGGTGTCTCAAACTTTTCCGAACTTAGGAGCTTGATGATCTTGTGTAAAAGACAACATGACATGACTAGCATGCTCGCGACTCAAATACACATGGTCCCAATACGACTGTCATCCATCGGTGACCCTGACAGCAACATATGCTCAGCGATCATATCTTCTTACAGCGGACGTACACTCTCAGACCTTCGAGCCTTTGGAAAGATCTCTTTGCGAGTGTTGAAGTCTTGCTATCCATTCTTGCGAATTGTCGGCAGCTTATAAGATCTGTCTAGGACTCAGGATGGCCCAGGAATGGTAGATTGAAGCTGCGAACATAAGAGCAGAGTATCGCAGCTACAAGGGACCAGAGAAGAGGGGTAATATGCTTAAATGGAAAACAGCTCTGATGTCAACGCCGCAAGCTATCGTGATCCATCGCGCCAGACCGCTTTCTGCTTTATACATGTACTGCACATTGGTCTTGCGTACACATCGGTTTTGACGTCCGCGGCAGTGTCTGAAGGAAGGAGCGGATTGCGGAGTAGCTCCTTGGCTCCTTAGTAAGGAAGAAGTCTCATGACTCTTGTCCGCTCTCGACCGAGTGCTGCCGCCGGCGAAGACCTTGGTGGGCACGGACTGCGCTCCGGTAGCTCTGACATGATGAAATCGGTGGCAGTGTTGATGATGGAGCACTCCTTGACAAATCATCCTCTCAAAGTTTGCAGAGTCTGACTCAGTCATTCACGAAGCGACAAGTGTTTTTGTGTTGGATGAATATTTGGAGTGTGATTAAGCTATATACCACCTGCAGTCTCTGATCGACTGCAAAGCGAACAATGACTTTTAAGATCAGATGTTTCGAAAGAATAATCGAAGCGAGTCTTTGGTAAGACTGAAGACTGCGTTCAGGCAATGCTCAAGATGCAGAAATTGAGTTTTGGGTCAAAAGACGCCCTCACTGTTCGGGAGGGCTTTGAAGACATCCATAAGGTGACCGAATCGTGTCCTTGTGGCATGATTGATGCGAAGCATTTGTGGCAAAAGCAGTCGGAAGCTGCGAAATGTTGAAAGTTGCACAAGAATCTGACGGAGGTTCTGGCAATTCAAAAAAGAATTATTGTTGTGCGCCTGCTGTTTGAGAAAAATCATGGTCTTTCAGTCTCGAGGAATGGTATACACTGCTGGACCATCCCTTCTTGTTCGAAGGATTTTTCAAGCCAGTGCGATATTGTTTTCTTGGATAGTGCTTCAGGCTCTTCGACAAGGACGAGAACAATGCAGGTGGTTTAAGCTATTGGCGAACATCGTGTGGTCCCATTTTGTACACCTGTCCTGATTGCCAAGCATGATCAGAACCTTGTAACTGTAAGCTGCGCCCACTGATGAACGCTGGAGGTGAGACCCCGCAAGATAGAGGCCATTCAAGGTCAATACGACAATGCGTCAATGAGGCAGCTCTGATGGATAGACGCATTGTCTAGATAGCGATCTTTCGAGACAAAACAGCGAAACATATCGCAATTCGTTCATCCCGCATAATGTTGGTGGTGATGTTGGTGCTGAGACTGCGGCTGGAACGTCGGGAACTCCATAAAGCTGTTCCACGTATCTGATGGACCCAGCAAACCATCAATGTGTCCTTGGTCCATCTGTGGGATATTCATGTTATGTCCAACCATCATTTCGTTCCAGCCATCTACAGGAACCGGCATACTTTGAGCAGGCAAGACATAACCATTTGCGACTCCTCCAGCAGAGGTGGACGGCATTTCCTGAGTCGTCAGATGGCGAAGAATGTCGTGGACCGAAAGATGAGACATGGAAAAGTCTTGCTCCAAACGAGAGATGAGCTTCTGAATCGTAGCTGAGCCCTTTGCGGCATGAATTGCGACGTGAGAATATTTGCCCAGTTCTTGAATGACTTGCTTTAGCACTGCGATGTGCTCCTGTCGCTTCTGAGATGTGTAATCTTGTGGGTTCATCAGGATATCCAGTGAGGTGTAGACCGCAGCGGCCACGGTCGAAGCGGAAACTGTCCACACAAGCTTATATACTCGGGCAACTGGAGACAGGTAGCTGTGAATGATGTTCGTAGCTGCTGCCATGGCTGCATCACGATACCGAGTTGTTTCGCTGCCAATGTTGCCCATGGCCAAAGTGCGTGCAATGCTAAGCATCATGAAATCTATGCTGTGGTTAATGAGATAACGTTGAAATGTGATCCAGGGATGTGTCGCCTCCCACTCCTCATCGTCGATATTTGCCGGAAACTTTGTCGACAAATGTAGGGGTAGATTTCGTTTGACGATCTCAATTTCCTCCAGTGCTTTGATGAACTTGGAAGCATTTTGGTGAGTGTTGACTTTGATATAAATGTAGAAAATGTAGGACAGGCGACACATGACGGATTGGTAAACTAAAGGCGACGGGCTGGAAGTGTGTGTTGGAGTTTCAAGGATCGCATCGTGATTGGCTTCATTTTCAGTCGAAAACTTGCAGCAGAAACTAGCGGGTGTGATGGATGGCGGACGAGACCAACTTCCCAGCCTAGAGACGATCATGTTAGCACAAGCTGCTTGTCACGCATTACGGTCCGGCCAGAAATTTTCACATACCAGTCTCGAATAACATACGTCCACCACACGCGACGACCGAGCTCGCGCTTCTCGAAAGACGACCACTCTGGTCTGACGCCGACGTTGCGCGAGTGAGCAATTTCACTGCCCAGACGATGCATGTCTAGGCAACGCGCGATGCTGGCAGCCCACCCAGTAAATAGCCATTCTCGCTGGGGTTCGCCGTAATTAGAGTGGCAAAGAGTCAGGACCGACAACGCTTGAACAATCCGCAAAGAAGGCAATCCAGAGCAACCATAACGTTCAACCTCCTTGAGCGCAACTTCGTACCAGAGACGCGACGTATGCACAGCATACCTTAACTCGTCATGCTGCTGATACTGATGAAGATTCAGCTGTGGCAAATCTGAAATGGCAGGCACATCTTCCGGGTCGAGATAGAGTAGACCTGTCGCCAGAAGAGCAAAGTATAACGCCAGCCACGGTCGATCTTTGACATCGAGGGCAACGCCGCTGTGTATCTTGTTCCAAAACTCTTCGTGCTCCGTAACAAATTCGGGTGCGTTGACAGCACCATGCAACCAGCCCAGAGTGCGCAGTGAGAACGTCACTAGCTGCTCGCTGATCTCTCTAGAGGGTAGCAGGAGGAAAACGGGGTCGGTCGAGGGTTCGTAGAGACGGTCGGCCATGTCTTTTTCCGACATGGCGACAGGATCCGAGTCGTGCGACACTTGGAGATCGAATTGCTCGAGAGCAGGTACAAGCTCTTCGAAAGCGGGAATTGGCGGTTGACCCGGTCGGTGAATTTCTGGTTTGCCGCCATGAGTATGTCCACATGGTTTGGAAAGAGCTAAGGCTGTCTCCAGCTCTGCAATTTGTGCTTGTAAGGCGCATCGTTCCTTGAGTAGTTGGTCGACGGAATTGTCTTCGCTGTCAGCCGACAAGCGGTCAACAGTGCTCGCCCTGACATGATCAGTAGACGTTCACATGGACAGTTCCACGACGCGGTGTTGAAGCCTGGACGTACACTGTAAGCATACCCCGTACGCGGGTGATGGGCCGCTGGCACTCGTGAGCAAGATTCCGGCGCACACATGGCTTGCACGGGATCTTCTTGTCGCACTTGATCTTCCTTCGGCTACACTCGATGCACGACCGAGATACGCGCTGCGATGACCTGATGCTCTGTTCGTCCATTGCTGAAGCCGAACGCTGCGAGGCAGAAGGGTCTTGCAAGCAAACGAAAGCCGATGCGAACAAGACCCAAGTGGCCGGACAGGCTGTTGATCAAAGGTCGAAAAATCGCCCAACAGCTGCTGTCACCGTGCTTGGTCCGGGGCTCGGTCTTATTCGCTTGGCGGGCCCCTGGAGTGCATGATTTGCAGGTGATAAGATATGCTTTGTCGCTTCGTCAGCCTAAATGGAGACCCTCATGAGCGCTTTACCTATTTGGGTCTGCCGCTCCCGTGATTGTTTGCGGTATCCCGAGGGCAAATCAGTTTCTGTGTCAGTAAATGAAGTGGTCATCGAGAAGAGCTTACCGGGATGTTCAGCCTTTCTCAACACGAGGACTGGAAATCGAACAAGACATCGTTGAACCACCGTGTGGCATCCTGCCTCGAAAGCTGCAACTGTTTCTCTCCGCTACCCCACGATGTCACTCCACAAACAAGGTTGTGGGACCTCGATCCGCTTCGGCAGCAAGCGTGATTGGGCACAGCGGTCAAGTTCGGCTGAGCTTGTCAGCGGCTGGCGTGGTGTGGCTATGAGACCACAGACGTGCGCTTCATCAAACAAGCTATTATTATTGCCTATTCCTGTGTTTCTGGACTAGGACGGAGTACTGCTCCTTGGTCTTCATGATTCGAGACAGCACGCAGCTTGACCGGTTGACAGGGCCGAATTGTCGGAAGAGCGAACCGTGGCTAACGGCCCGCTGTGGATACGCAAAGGATTTTCAAATGCTGACAAGTTGCGGCGGATGCTGCACCTGTCGTCCCCGTCGGATACTTACCCAGGGTTGACGTCCTACCTGTCAGACTGACTCGATGAGTCTGATTACGTCCTAGAACTCCAGAGCGTGCAGAGTGCTATGAACAATCCGGGATCTTTTCAGAGCATGGCGACGAGATTCTGGCGCAGATGGGCTTGCAAAAAGTGACTGGTGGCCATGATCCAGTAGTATCACTAATCACCCGTTCATCGTATTTTGAATAGTCGTCCGTGCCTAATTCCTTCACGGGCTCGACTCGAACAAAGTCTGTAAAGACTCGCTGGATGGTAAAATCTGGCGACGAGCCTCGCACAATGACCGCACAATTTCGCCGCGGAGGAAGACGTGATGTCAAATGCCGAAAAACAAGATCGGATTCTGAATGCTTAACGTGGTATTAGCGAAATCCGGTCCTGTCTTGCATGGCTTTTTTTGCAAGATGGTCATCGAAGCAAATTCCTTTCTAGACGAGTTGGCTGCAGCGAGCGCTTCCAGAGCTTGCTGCGACGCCGTCCTTAATGCGCCGAGACTTTGGTGACCATGATGAACCAGGAAATTCAATACAAGTATAGAGACCAGAGTGAGCTGCGCCGGTGGCCGAGGTCCAGTCAGACAGTTGCGTGGCTTCCTCGAGCGTGGCTTGCGTGTTTCCACTGCTATTTTGCTGATCCTCGACCTGAAATGTGTTGAAGGAGTCATGACGCGTTGGTGCTTGCATTTGCTTGTTTGAGTTGTGCAAGCCCAAGCAACAATGCAACCATACTCAACCACGCATGTCCCATCTCGTGGCAGATAGGAGGAAAGAAGAGAAGAGAGAGACCACCCTCGCACTTGAAAGATTCTCCTGCGGCTTCTCGCTCAGACACGGCCGAGTTTGTCTTGTCATGGACTTCTTCGGCCGAATTTTGTGCACGGTTATGCTTTACATTGTCAGGGTCGCGCTTGCAACCATATTTCTCGTGCCTGAACAGGTTGTATCCCAAAAGACAGTAGTCATGATCATGTCCAAATTATCGAAATGCTTTGAACAGACCAAAGGTGAATTCTGTGAAGGTTTTGACTGTTGCGTGCCACAAAATTGTGCTACATAAGATGGTTTCTTGAGAAGCAAGAATCTCAGCGCAGAATTTCATCTCGTCGACCTTCATCATCCAGTCTCCTCTGAGACGACATGACATAGAATACATAAGAAACAAGCAAGAAAAGGGACAAACAACGTTAAAACAAGCTTTGACATACTTTGGTACATGTCTTTGACAATGAAGTTCTTGGTCCATTGGTTGCAACATATCATAGTTGTTCACCAGCAGGAACAGCAGTCTTGATGAATTCATCACTGTACCTCTCCGACTCGCTCCCTGTAGCTTTCAATGTATGCTTGATCTTCTTTCTTGTGAACTTCTTAAACAGGAATCCGCAATTCCAAGCACCGCAAGCAACAGGTCGAACCCACCTATAGTGATTTCGACGTCGCTCTTCACCCTATGCCCTAAAGACCTTTGCGCTATAGATGGTAGCGGTGTTAACTCCGATAATCATTATTGCCATGGCTAGAGCTCTTTCTTTGGATTTCGTGCAGGTGAGCAACATTCCCCATGAATGGAGTATATCAAGACACAAGCATCAAGGTGTGGTCTTCCATCCTGGACACGCGATGCCAGGCTCTAAGACAAGATCAGACAACTGCTGAGGTTTATACGATATCCAGACCACCTCCTGCTCTGACATTCTCACAGCAGTCTGCTGTTCTACGCTTTGTTCTTCAATTTTCAACCAGGTACTGAAATGCCGCTCAATAGTATATGCTAGAAGGTGCAACGTCATGCCGCGGGTGTTTGGTCAGTGGAGTCAATGGAGTGAGTGTTATACGCGGTTGCCAGTGTGCCGAACACAGCCACAACTGTGCCAACAGTCATATATTTCTTCATGCACGAAGGACCATCTTCGTCCCCGACTCCTCCGAGGGTCAGACAAGACTTTGTTGGTCGCATGAATTCCGTACCTGGCGTAATTGTCTAGAGACTTTTCATGATTCGCGACACGTAACCAGGACCTCTGTTATGACGCGACAAAAGCACAATCAAGGCTGCTCCAGGTCACGACGAAGTCGACAAGCCAAGGCCTGAAGGCCTGCCTGGTAGAGCGGACTGGAGAGATTTGACGCTGCTTCGATAGCAGAGAATTGCAGTAATCACTGCTCTCGACCAACGAGCAGACACTGTTGCAGTGTATCGTTGACCCTTCTCGGTGTGCCGCCGCCTTCCGGTTGTCCCTCGGTGCATCGCGCGCGATCGCGTAATTTCCTTCTGACAGGCTGAGGGTCTTGGCAACACGACAATCGACAACTCGATCGACGAACGTCACTCTTGAACCGTCCCAAGCATGCTTGCAATCCTCAATTGATACGAGACGAGCAATTTGCAGAAGATGAAGAGTTCATGAAGCATGGCTGATTGATAACATGTTGTTGCCGTTCCTCGAGAGATGCCTGAGTGCGGCATCAATTTATTATTGCATTCGGGCTCAACGGCCAATTCTGCAATGACGTCTCGCAAAGTTTCGGAACAGCCAAGTTGTAAAGGGAAAAACCATGTTTGGCAAGAGCGACCTTGAGTCTTGACTCCGAGTAACGACTCGGACAAGAGGCATGACGAATCTTTCCTTGACCTCCCAGCCTGCGACTTCCTAACCTATTCTTTTCACCTACCACAACTCCCATCGCTTACAACAAAGCGCTCGATTGCAATGTCCGACGCAGGAACGTCAATGACGGCAGAATCAAATCGCAGGCGCAATGGCTATAGGGAGTGCGACGACCCAGAATTAGCACACATCCCCAATGGATCCGACGGGTTTCCGCTGGAAACAGTCACATGGCGAGATCGTATCGCTCACTTCACCTGGCCTTGGTTTGCGTGCACAATGTCTACCGGAGCCGTCGCCGTCGTCATAGGCAATACGCCGAACAGATTTGCTGGTCTTGACACCATTGGGAAAATCTTCTTCATCTTGGCTCTGGTTTTGTTCATCGCTTTCAACGGTCTTATCGCTACACGATTCTTTCTGGTACCTGATAAATTTCTCGCTTCTTTGCATCATCCCGTGGAATCACTCTTCGTGGGAAGTTACTGGGTTTCCGTTTCTCTTCTTCTCACCTGTATGCAACTTTATGGCGCGCCGAGCGTTGGTCCCTGGCTTATCAAAACTCTTGAGATTCTATTCTGGATGTACTGCGCCATGGTACTCATTGTCGGCGTGTTACAGTACTACGTGTTATTCCAGCTGGAGCGTCTCAAGGTCAACAATGCTATGCCTGCCTGGATTTTCCCAATCTATCCCCTGCTTGTAGTCGGCCCCTTGGCTCAAACTCTGGTTCCGTACCAACCACACGATGCGGCTGTCAAGATTTGGTTCGGTGGAATCATGCTGCAAGGTGCAGGATGGTGTGTCGCTCTGATGATGTATGCCATCTACACACAAAGATTGATGGTCAGCGCTCTGCCAGATCCCTCCACAAGACCTGGCATGTTTGTCAGTGTGGGGCCAGCTGGTTACACTGCTCATGCCCTCATGTCACTGGGTCGGCAAGCTCCCAAAGTATTTGGCGACAGCGAACTGTTCGGGATTACTTCACTGCCGATGGGAGATGTGATCAAAGTCATTGGAATCCTTGCAGGGTTCTTTGTGATCCTGTTCTCTTTCTGGTTCTTCTGCGTCTCACTCGTCTCGGTCCTTGCTGGTGTCAAGGAAATGTCATTCACTTTGAATTGGTGGGCATTTGTCTTCCCCAATGCTGGCCTTACCCTTGCCTCTATTCAAGCCGGAGCTGCTCTAGAAAGCGCGGGCATCAATGGTGTATGCAGTGCTTTGACCATTGGGCTGGTTATCATGTGGATCATCTGCGCGATCGCAAACATTCGAGCTGTGTGGAAGAAAGAGATTATGTGGCCTGGGAAAGATGAGGACAAGACGGAAAACGGTGTCAAATGGGGAGCACATGTTGCATAAGGATGCTGTGCAATTGACTACTCCTTACTATTTATAATTTCTAATCATAAAGCTCTTCCATTGCTCACCTACAAACACCTTCTTCCCAACAACGTAACCAGATAGTCAAGCAATCCACAATCCACAGTCTCATTTGCAATTGAAGGACTACATGTCCTTGTTGCTGTTCCACGTAGAGCACGCTGGCACGACTTTTGGCCTGTCGGGAAACAAGTTTCGCCGAGCTGTAAGTCCGCGCTCTACACCTGACACAATTTCGCCGACACTTTTTGTCTGTTACACTTTCAAGGCAAATGTAGCAGATGTAGTATCAGAGCTGATCTTGAAGTATACATAATCTTGTCTGTTTTGGGTGGGTCTAAAACGCAGGCAGGATCAACAGCCAAGACATCGTTTCTCGTGACTCAATCCTTCTCAAAGCGTTCACCGCCGCCACTCCCTTCCCATGGAACGACAAAACCGCATGACCAAAGGAATACCCCCAATCATTTGACTAATCTCTCACTGTTGCATTTCATCTGATCAAGTCCAAGTTTGTCTCGGCCATCACTCAAGATATCAAGGAACCGGATAATTATCCATTTCGATCATGTACAGCACAGTATCTTCCTGGGTTGAGGCCAGACACGAATCGATAGATCAGTGGACAAAAAACCTTGTTGAGGGAGAAGAGAATCATCTGGTCATCACAGCTCTAGAGTCACTGCTCAACGATGAAACCTCGGGTTCTGCCACCGCTAAAAACATCAACGATATCTATCTCCCCTCATTGGTATCTGGTCACCGGACTAGCGTGAGCTTCATTTGGGGCGTTCTAGCTGATGCCTCAAGATGGTTCGGCTCTTCTCATACGCTGGAACTGGTCGATCTAGTTGTTGCTATCAAAAATCTTCCAGACGTCGTCAACAAGGCTGGATATGTGGTGACACACGGAGGCAAAGTGATCTGGCGGGAACTACATGATTTTGGCTGGGCAAGTCGCCTTGCGCTGAGCATAGTCCAGTAAAGCCGTGGTTTTGTTGCCTATGCCTTTGTAGAGTCATGCTAATAGTACTTTCACTTCAGATATTCTATGAACATGGCCTTGGTAAGCGGCCTCCGAACTATCTCCTCAGACCCACTACCTAACAAAAGTCATAGATCTAGATCTTGACACTGAAGGATCGACCTATGCAGAATGGCATGCCCAAGCCCCGGGCCACCTCAATGCTCACACCTTCGCCGCGACTTGGATGCAAAGAGAAAAGTGCAGCAGCATGTTTTATGCGGATAGCGCCTTTTCGAACATCATGGCGCCTTTCGACAAGACTCGTGAGATGGCAGACGAGTGGAAGATGTATATTCCTCCTGCCACGGTCTGGATCACAATCAGCGGCCAAGCGGTGCATCATCATTGCTTCAAGCAAAGGGACGAGAATACCCAGGTTTTGCATAGAGATGGGTCGTCCCCTGAGATATGGGTGAAGGTCAAACAAAGATTTGCAGAATTGGCGAAGCAGACGGATATCGACGACCGCTGTCGAGGTCTTGCCAGAGAAGCAGCTAAGGAGATGGAGCGGATTGAGCGGAAGGACTAGATACAAATGAAACTTTGCGTCCTACTATGGTAGTGTCGCCTGGATGTTGATTCAATTGCTACGCGACAACTGATGGCCTTCACCAATGCAATATGAAAGGTGATCAGCGTAGCTGAGGGAATCATCGCAGCTGAGAGATCGACGACGAGTAATTTGAGACATGGAAACCGAGCCGACGACCAGTCGATGTACGGATGGCTAAATATTCGAGTATGCAGCGCGTGGAAGGATGCGAAGGAAGGTCGCCGGATGACGCATGAGAGGGGTAGGATCGGCTGAGATCGACATGCGAAGGTGAATTCAGGCTGACATCCCTGGGCGCAAAAGCTTCGCTCAATCTTCATGCTCCCTGTAGAGCTTTAATCGATCATCTTCCTTTGCTCCAAGTACCCTCTGCGCGATCTAGAAAAGAGTTCATTGGCTTGCCATCATCGCCCATGGAATGCAAGGCAGACGTGTGCGGGCGACCTCTGTCGTCTTTGCACAATTCTCTATTCTCAACTATCGAAAGTGGTCTATTCCGAGATCAAGACAACCTCGCTGTCGTATCTCGAGAACAGCCTCACGATCATTTGTCAGAAGTTGTGCGCACGTATCAACACTCGTCTGACACAGAGGAAACAAGAGGCGGCTGTTTACGATGGACCTATCGCCAATACAACGGTCTTTTCATCTCCCTGGCCGAAGGACTATCCCAAAGGATCCCACACCCGGGCTCAAGAATTGTCACCTTGATACCCAATTCTGTGGAATGGCTTCTTCTGCTTTCAGCATCCATCATTTCCAAGAACGCCATTGCTTGCTTAGACGCCAATATGCTCAACAAGCCTCGCCATGCTGAGCTCAAGAGCAAGATCATAGACTTGCAGCCTTCCGTCATTGTAGTTGAAGATGCTGAAGGAGTGGCTGCGGCAGAACAAGCGCTGGAACTCCTCGATCTTCAAAACCTCGTCAAAGTTTCGCTCAATGACAAACCCATATCTTCGAACTCTGGCTCTTGGCTGCCTTTTGCAGACTTGTGTTCACCAATCAACGATCAAGTGGCTTCGGCAAGGATCGAAGATGCGCGACATGATGATCCGGATCGTGATGCTCTGATCGTCTACACGAGCGGTACCTCGAGCGGTGCACCTAAAGGCTGCATCAGACCCGTTCGCGACTTGGCCACATACACCGCAGTGCAGACTTGGAAGCTTCCCAGCGACACAGGAGGTAAGAGAGCTTTACAGACTGCCAACTTCCGGGTGATCGCACCTGGATGTGCGCTCAAAGCTTGGTATGATGGCGCCGCTATCATATTGACAGGCCGCGTCTTCGATCCCCTGAAATTCCTCGACGCTATGGAAGGGGAAGGAATGACTGAGATTGTTCTTCTGCCGGCCCAGCTACACGCGATCGCTGCAACGCCTGGGTTTGAGCTTCGAGACAAAAGCGCAGTAAGGCTCATGATGTCGGGCGGGGACATAGTGACATCCTCACACATCCAAGAATTTAAACGGCTCTTCCCAAAAGCAGCTTTTATGACCACGCACGGGATGAGCGAAGTAGGGGGCGTACGTAAAGCTAAAAGCATGAATGTCACGACTCGTGTTGGCAGTTTGTCTTTGTCTGCAGCCAGGGTCCGTACGGAGTCGTTCCTAGATCCATGGCGGGACTCCGCCCTGCAGACTCAAGCATAATAGTCAAGTCAAGTCGTGGTGTTATTGCCTATCCGGCATTGTGAGGTCATGCTAATCGGACCTGCAATTCAGATTTTCTCCTGGCCTTACTCGGATGGCATCGAGTCGATCCCTTTCTATTCCGGTATCTCGCCTCTCGGTCGACCTTCTCCAGGATCTCGAGTACGCCTGGTGTCGGACGATGGAAAGGTTGTTCAGAGAGGCGAATTTGGCGAGCTTCATATCCAATCCGACTCGATCTTCAAGTCTTATCTGGCAGCACCAGAGAAGATGGATGTAGTGTACACTGATCAGGATGGCAGGTGGTTCAAGACCGGTGATCTCGGGATGATCAGCGATGCTGGAGATGTGTACATTGTTGGTCGTCTCAAGGATGTGGTTAAACGAGCAGCAATCTCCATCGCGCCTGCCGCAATAGAATCTTGTTTGGAGGCTTATACCGGATCACAGGTGTGTATCAGTCCTTGCAGTACCATGAAACTTCATTGACACGCTTCACAGACAGCTGTCGTGGGTAGGCCTCATCCCTCTCTTGGACAGGAGCCATTTGCGATCCTGCGGAGTTTTAACGGCAAATCTGAATCTGATCTGAAAGCTCATGTCATCGCGACATACGGCCCGGACTGGGTTCTTGGAGGGGCAATAGAGCTCAAGACACTGGGCCTAGAAAGTTTCCCCTTGAATCTTACGGGTAAGGTACAAAAGTTGGACATGTTGGCGGCATTGGCCGAGTCACCGGCAGTCGCATCATAATGTTCGTATATGTACCACAACATACTATGAATAGCTCAACAAGCATACCAATATTCAGCATGTTCGAACATGGTGTTATGTACAGCGAATTGTGGCACAGACATCTAGATTGAGTTCTTGATGGGACGGTCATGTCTGCTTGGAATTATAAGATGTTCCTATAGAGAGTATCATGTTGTTGAACGATGTCCACCAGACTCCTAATAATGACAAAACCAGAGTTTGTCCGCAAATGAAAAGTGTTAGGAAATATCTCTCTGGTTCCAATCCTAGACCCTTGTAACGCCCTGCCGGTCATCACGATGCGTTAAAAACTTTGCCTTCTGTTAGGACCACTGCGCATCAAGATTGAGCAGTGATCATTGGTGCTTTCCTCCTCGGACTCAGGTCGCAGCCTACTGCGATCCGTAGTTGGGTCACTTCATTCTCAAGTTGCTTGATGTAATCACAAGCGGCAAGTAGAACTTCCGCCTTGCTGGGCTTTGGAATCTGACCGGCTTTTGCTGGCTGCTGAGTAGGAATGCTCGGGACCGTGCTAGCCAGCTTTCGAAAGTGAGCCATGAGATTGTGACGGTACCTTCGCTCTATGTCTGTATGAGTGGAGCGACCTCGGCGACGACCTCTACTGGTCTTGTCAGGGAGATCGAAAAGCTCAGCAGACGAGACAGGAGACTTTTCCAGCTCAGGATAAGCAGGCTCCCTTATCAGTGGAGGCGGCGTCAAGGGGCCAGGAATCGCAGGCCTTGGAGCACGAGTTGGAGATGTGTGTTGGGATGCGAATGATTGGAAACGCTCAGGCTGTGTGGTACACGTGTTGTCATGTGCAGCGGCGAGCATAGAGTCGATGTCAGAATAGCCAGTCAAGGTATTGATGCCAGCATCCACGGACAATTTGCTCAATCGCGCGTCCAGACTCTGGTATGAATCAAAATGCTGGTATGTGTAAGGCAACACAGGCATTGATTGTTGGTGACGCAACTGAGGTCTTGTAGGCTTTCTCTGCAACGTTACATGCCTGTAAGAAGACGGGTATCGTTGCTCATGTCCCAGGTAACAATCCTGTGCATATGATTGTGCATCGACAGGAAAATGAGACAGAAAAGCAGTCTCGAAAGGATCATTTGGGCCACTGGCATATCCTGAATCTTGAGGTGGAGACCATGATGGGGAGTTGGGCTCGCATGATCGTGGAGAGTGCGGATTCATCTGGATGAAGTTCATGCTGACAGGTATGTAGATTGGTGTAACTGCAGTAGAATAGAGTGAGATGATGAACACTTTCACTGGATATGGGCTGCTATATTTATGCTTGAGTGCGGAATATTGGCATCAGCTGTGGTATACAGACTTGTTGGTACTGTCATGGAACTTGAAACTGCCATGATTGAAACCGTTCTATTGTTCCTCAAAAGACAGCAAGGACCGTTGCCTGTCTGACTTCTGAAGTAAGTTCCGGCTCTCGGATCTCTGTATAGCTTCTGGAATAGGGCTGATCTGACTATAGATATAGATACAACCTCGAAATCTTGTCAGAGAGATTTGGTTTAAAGCTCGATAACTTGCGTCCAGCACAATCAAAGATCTTATAAAATAGCTGATCATCGAAAGTCGGAAGCGTCACACCACAAGCGCATAGGAATCCTTCACACTGCTCGAGTCAGCTTTGGAGGTTTGCAGTCATTTCCACAGCCTCATTAGGGCAAGCTCCAAGGAACAGGCGTTCACGTTCGTAGAGTTTTCACGGCATCGCCGAGATACAGGAGTTTCTGCAACGGTCGGCTTCCGCAACGTAGAGCCATCATAGCTGGAGTTCTAGCCACAATCGCTTAAACTTGCCATGAATCTGATCCTTCGCTCATTCAACACATTGCTCATCTGCAACTATGCAACGAACTTGCAGTTCGTCCAGATCAGGTTTTTCGCAAAACGTGAAGCTGTGATTTGACTTGCCGGGGAAGCTTGCAAGCATATGTCGCATTGCTCATCTAGCCAATTTTCGAGGATCCTGAGCCGACTCCACTTGCGCCACATGGCTGAGCAAGTCCTGGTCAGGTCGTCGAACCACGCACGCCGCATTGCCTACTCGAGCTGCAAATCATGCAGAAGCATACGATCTCTCGATCGAGTTCGTATCGCAGGAGATTAGGATAGTACGATGCCTGCATACGATGCACGAGTGCCAGTCTATCGGATCCACCAATGTTTTTCAGTATAGCAGATCGGGCATTCCGAGTCATTCAGCTCTCCACGTGTCGAAACGCTTCTTGGTTGCGCAGCAGTCTATTGTTCTGAGATGCGATGATCGCCGATGTCTTTCCATTTTCCTAACTGAGAATGGTAGAAAATGTCCAACTGAGTCAAGCCAAAAGCCACGATTCCCTATACGTCTGTAAACATTTTGGTGGCTACAGCGTATACCTGTAGTCGGGGTGACACTGCCATTGGTTTGCCAATGCAGTCACCCGCGTTCCTACGACTATGCCCTCCAGTCTGTCATCGTCACTGCTAGCATGTTCGAGTTTCCTGTTTCTCCATCCAAGATAGAATCGGAGTGCAGTGGCAAATGCGATGCAAGCTGCTGAGAATGCTACATTGACGACATTGGCCTGCCAATATCTTGGTCCTTGAGACGCTGGGTAGATGTAAGATGCGTATATCGATGCCAAATTTGAACCAGCATTGACAACTGCATAGGCGACGGCACGTTTGGAGGAAGGACGAGGCAGAGTCGTTGATACCCAAGACAAGATACACCCAAAGCTGCCGTAGACAGACATCATCATGAAGGTTGCCGTGTATCGTGCCGCCACATTGAGTGTGACTGCAGAGATGATGAACCCTACGCTGCAGAACACCTGGGGCCAGACAACGTGAAGCCATCGCTCCCGGGTCTTGTCGGAGTGCCACGAATTGGTGATACCCAGGATTGCGGCAAAGACATATGGCGGAGCTGATAGCAACAAAGTCTGGGTCTTGTTGTAACCAAGTGTCTTGACGAATAGTTGGAAAGAAGTTTGTGAATGCTGCTGCAGTATTCAAGCTCAATTGCATGAACCATAAAATGTAGAGTGTCGGATCAGTAAACGCCAGCTTTAAGCCCTCGCGGGAGCTTGATTTGTGAACATCCTGTTCATTTGCATCCTCAGCAATTCGGAGTATTGCAAGGTGTCTCTCTTGCTCAGTCAGCCTGTACACTCATTAGCGAGCGTCTCCAACACCGCTTGCAGGCTTCTTACCACTTCGTGGTATCAGGATAGTTGGGCAGTATGAATGCTGCTGCAAATGCGATCGGGATGGTAGCAGTTCCTTCGATAATGACTAACAGATATCAGTTCTTAAGGTTATGGTCCCCATGCGTGTGTAAAAACTCACAGAGCCACCGCCAAGCGGCTAGTCCTGCTTTACCATCCATGCCGCCCATGATGGCGCTGCCTAGGAGTCCTCCGAAGGCGCCTGCCATTTGCCCAGCTGCGTAAAGGATGGATATGCGTTTCGCCAGCTCTTTTTTGGTGTACCACGATGAGAACAGAAAGAGCGATCCGGCTGTATTCAAGTCAGTCATGAAGGCGTATGGCAGGAAGAAACAACGCTTACGAAAAAAGGGTGCTTCGACAAAACCTAAGCAGAATCTTAGGCAAATCATCCCCTGGTAGTTCTGCACGGCTCCAGAGCAAGCGCTGACGGCTCCCCAACAGCACATGATCACGGGTAGAAAAACAGATGGCTTGACTTTGTCCAAGATCATGTTTGTGGGAACCTGCGTAAGGATGTATCCGACAAAGAAGATCGATATGATAGTGTTATACTGGGTGCCATGCAGACCAAGGTCCTTCTCGAAAGACCCGAGGCGAGCGACTGCAATGTTGTTGCGATCAAGATAGTTGAGTACATCTATGCGAATTCTCAAATCAGTTGAGATATCTGGAGAGATCATAACAAAGGCTATACGTACAGATAAGCATCATCATTGGCATCATCCTCAAATCGATCTTCCTCAAGAGCTTCTTTTCCACAACAATCCTATCGCCAGCGATTGCGATCTCATGCTCATCGTCAATCTTGTCAAGATGAATGACATCTTGTACTTTGATATTGAATTCGGTCATGTCAGCAATGCGTGAAAGTTGCAGAAAAGGTGGACATGCCCAGATATGTTGGGCAAGCCTGGCCTTTTTATGCAGAGTCTCTTGATCCCCATGACTTCTTGTTGGCAGGATATCTGGGGTCTCCACAACTTCCCCGCAGCGGCATAGATCCTAAAGGGCCTCATAACCGACCACCTTAAGTGACATGTTGATGAGGATGAGGATGTTCCGATCGGCTCGCATGTAATCTTGGCTGCAGATCACCTCCACCACGCTTTTGCGTGAGTCGTCAACATTGCGGGGTCAAGTTTGATGGCCGATGATTCAAAACACAACTAGTCCCAGATGTGGAGTATTAGAATGCATCTCTTGACTTCCTATCTCAAAGCTCCGAACATCAAGACAACTACCCTTTGATAACTTAAGTCTCAGACCAAACATGCCGGTAGACAACAGACCTACCATCTTGTGGATTGGCGATGCAGTGAAGCACAACCCAGCTGTTTTCAAACGTCTCGAGAGTCAATTCGAGATCATCAGACCAGAAGCGGAGTTACGCCAGCGTCCTGCATTTCTGGAAGCTCTTCGATCCAAGACATGGGGAGAGTTCGATGCTATTCTTCGGCCTTTCTGGGTGACCGGCGGTGAGATGGGTCGCTGGGATACGGAACTGGTTCCACTTCTTCCCAAGTCATGCAAGATCTTCGCTAGTGCAGGAGCTGGCTATGATTGGGCAGATGTTGATGTTCTGGCAGAGCATGGAATATTGTATTGTAATGGTGCACAAGCATCCTCGGAGGCAGTTGCGGACATGGCTATCTTTCACATCTTGTCGGTCTTTCGCAATCTTACGTGGTCTCACTTGGCTGCTCGATCGGGTGATGCTAGAGAATGGTTGGATGCGCATGCAAATGCTACCATGACGGCTCACAACCCTCGCGATCACATCCTTGGTATCATTGGTCTCGGAAACATTGGATTTACAGTTGCCCAAAAAGCGTTTGCTGGCTTTGGAATGAAGATACACTACTACGATGTCGCTCGTAAGCCTCGTCAGCAAGAAGAGGCTGTCAACGCAACTTTTGTAGACAGTCTTGAATCTTTGTTAGGGATGTCTGACTGTGTTCTTCTTGCCACTCCATTCGGTGGCAGTAAGGTCATCGACGCCGAACGCTTGGCCATGTTCAAGCAAGGATCTCGATTCGTCAATATAGCGCGCGGAACTCTGGTCGATGAAGATGCTCTGGTGCAGGCGCTCAAGAATGGCAACCTTTTCGCTGCTGGACTCGACGTCTTTGAGAACGAGCCAGCAATCCATGCTGAGCTTCTTGGGATGCGCAATGTGACTCTCACTTGTCACAACGCCGGAGGAGCCATTGAAACCAATTATGCGTTCGAGAAGTTGGCGATGGAGAACGTTGAAGCGTTGTTACTGACTGGAAAAGCATTGACACCTGTGAATGCGCATTTGATCCGAGATTGAGCTTGTACGTGTCGGTATAGCATACTAAGGCTTCTCAGTATACAGTCAGCTGAGATAAGAAAAAGATCCAAAGAAAATATGCTTTGCTCACCTTGAGGCGCCCTTGCTATCGCCGCGCTCCACGGAGCTTTCCATTGAGTTTGATGGTCGAAGCTTCACCAAGCTGTCGTAAGCCTTGACGCAGTGCTATAAAGTCACGCAATCCCCCCTTTGGAGCTGTTTCTGCCTTTGACAGATTGATCACGGAATAAGTCGTTCCCCAAACCCTTCCCTACGGAACAAGCACGGGAATAACAACGAGATATGACAATGATCGGCAAAGCACTAGCCACTGCTGCACAATTCTTGTTCTTCAATCAATGGATCCTTCTTGAACGGAAGACTGGCTCGTCTGGCAATACTGTCCTGCCCTTGGTGCTATGGTACACAGCATGCGAAGCGCTAAGTGTTTTCGTTCTCCGAGAGCTGCCCGCGAACTTGCACGCCGTACAGTATGCCGTTCTGTTCCTGGTCCACCTACCGGCTACGCATATCTCTACCCTCGTGTTCACCGCATGGGAAGAGCAGAGGCCCGCCGCCCGGCTGCTAAAGGATGACACTGAAATCGAACATAGTCCACACGACTCATCAAGGTTATCACAGTTCTACATATGGGAGACATCAGTATTGCTGGCGCCAGCGGCAACGGCGGCATTCTCGAACACAGCTTTGTGTAACCTGGCTTCGCAAGCGGTAAACCTCGACGCATTCTTCGCGTACGCCTGTTACCTGATCACCCGTCTAATAGGCGACTGCATTGTGTGTCAACGCATGAACCGATCCATGTTCCTGGGACAAGACGGCGTACAACGACTACGATCATCATTGTGCTATCTATGCCTCTCTCTGGTATCTCGCGTGATTGTCAGTTGGATGTTGGGGCTTGGGCTGTATCAGTATCTCGTGACTAGCCTCTTCGGTTAGCTGGCAACTTGGACAGTACATGAAGCATGGTGAAGGTTTACAAAGCATGAGAATACCGCATCTGTAGAGTTTCGCCGTGAGCCTCGACACAGTGTGATGGCGGTATCTATGGTTGTTCTACAACCTGAAAGTTGGAAGATAAGCTCCGCTCGAGCCGCTGTCGCATAGGTCTGAGTGTTCCGACTCCAACACTGGCCGTTGAGTCCCCAGATCAATATCAATCACTGAACAGCGTTTTCAGATCGGTTTGAATTGCATCTTGAAAGTTCTGTATAACATGCGGCTTTCATAGTACTCGGGTTTACCGCCTAAACTCCGCCATTGTTTTATCTCCGTAACTCTATCCACTGGATGAGGAGATATGATTGGCAGGTTCAGCTGAGCTCATGATAAACACGAGACACCGGCGAAGGATTTTTGGTGAGATAAGCCCGAATAGATGGGTATATTAGGAAGGATGCGTGTGCGTGTGTTACATCAGGCGGCCGTTGCTTTCCAGACTGCACTCATCCATCATCAACCACGACAGAATTTCGGAGAATGACTTCACGCATCATCCTAGTTACTGGCGCCAACCGAGGTATCGGGTTTTGTATCGCCCAAGTACTTGCACAAAAGAATGTCGAAGACACTGTCATTATCACAGCTCGTGGACAGGAATCGGCGTCACAAGCAATTCAGAAGTTGAGAGGATTGGGAGCACGAACTCACTTGGACTCGGCAGTGCTTGATGTCACAAGCGATGAAAGCATTCATGCGCTGATATCAGTGATACAAGAAAGATATGGAAGGCTCGATGGTATGTCATCACGCCTGGATTGGTTGTCGCAAGGACGAGACTGACTGGATTCTCAGTCCTCATTAATAATGCAGGCATCGCAGCGGTGCCATCTTCTGACCTCTCTGACTATCGCCAGGTGTATAATGCGATCCTGAATACCAATGTCACTTCAGTCGGGCTCATGATCACACTTCTTCTGCCTCTTCTGCTCAAGTCTCCAAACCCGAAGGTCATCAACATCTCTTCCGGTCGCGCATCTATCACAAGGCTCACCTTGGGTGATCTTCCCGCGACAGTCAGTGTGCCTTATAGTGTTTCGAAGGTTGCTCTGAATGTCATGACTCTTGAAATGGCTAAAGCTGAGCCGAGGGTTGCCTTTTTCCTGGCAAATCCTGGCCACTGCAAGACTGCATTCAACGGATACAAAGGCAAGAAGGACCCACTTCTGGGTGCCGAGGTGGCTGCCAATCTTGTCTATGGTGATTACAAGAGTGGTTTTTGGCACAATGATGGAGGAGAAATGGAGATGATGCCCTGGTAGATTTGTACGCAGAAGTGCCAACCTGCCACAAACAGGATTGACAGAACAATCATACAGGAATTCATAGAAGGAGTGCTTCGCAGCCGATGCCAGATCTGTGCTGTTCAAAAGGTCGTCCAGTGCTCGTCAGGTATCGATGTACCGAGGTGTTCTCAAGATATGTTTTGTAGCTGCTACAGCATTGCAGGCAGGATAACACTGCTCTACAACCTCTTGGCTCTTTACCCAGTCATTCTGACTTTTGTGACAGATCTGGACAGCTGTTGAGCCCAGGGGTCAGGATAATTTATGATACACGGTGCGTCAAGAACAGTATTCGCCGGCCATGACACAGAGTCCCGTGTAGAAGTGCCCACCAACAACCATCATGTGTAGTTGTCATGCGCAAAGGGGTTGAACGTATCATGGCGAAGGGACCCAAGGTACAAGCCCCACATCGGACAGTTTCCGTGATGGGGTCGCAAAACTTGCCCAAGACGGGTCGGATCGGGTGAGGATTCCAGGCAATGTAGCCGATCGCGATGCGACCAAACCTTCTTGCTACTTCCTTCCCGAACCCAAATGGACAACCGCCGTCACTTACCATCACGACTCTCCAAATCATGACTCAAAAGAACCCCATGGGGTACCCACATCGCCGCGGAGGCGAACGCCTCTTTCTGGAGTCATATATGATCCACCAGCCTTTGCCCTCGTAGATCTCTGCCTTCGTTCGAACCAATCGTGAGTCTCGTTTCACACCCTACACACTTACAGTCATGGGTGGCTTGCATGCTGTCGAGGATCGACCTACACCCAAGGAGGTGTACAATTGGCGTCTGTACACTGAGGCATCGATTATTGCGACTGGATCATTACTGTAAGCCTCGCGCATACTTATGTTCAAAAGAACAACTTTGCTAACTTCTCAACAGCTTTGGATATGACTCGGCGTTCGTCGGTACAACCATCGCTCGTGCTAGTTTCAAGAAAGACTTTGGCATCACAAAGCATACAGCTGCTGGCATCTCCAGCAATATCACTTCTGCCTTTCAAGCAGGAGCCTTTTTCGGTGCTCTGTTCTGCTACTTCCGTAAGTACTTTTGCCTGACTCGACTTCTCACTCTGTCATTGACTATCTGAGCAGTCACTGAGCGCGTTGGCCGCAAATGGGCTCTACAAGCAAATGTCGTTGTCTTTCTCGTGGGAGCCATTCTGATGACCGTGGCCACTCATCAGCTTTCATACATCTGTAAGGAACCCATACTTGCTTTGTGGACTTATCTGACACCACCAACCAGACGCTGGACGTGTACTCACCGGTCTTGGATGTGGCGCCATCACTGCTACAGTACCGAGCTATATCGCCGAGCTATCAGTTCCTTCCATTCGTGGTATCCTGACGGGTCTTTTCGAGATCGCATATCAAGTCGGTTCCTTGATCGGATTCTGGGTCAACTATGGCATCAACAAAAACATGAATGTCAAGTCTGCGCTGAGCTGGAAGATCCCCATGGCAATTCAGCTCATTCCTGCTGCAAGTTTGTTAGCCGGTGGTTTCTTCTTGCATGAAAGCCCTCTGTGGCTTATGCGCAAAGGCCGCGAGACAGAAGCCAAGGCAGCGCTCGTTCAGCTTCGTCATCTACCTGTCGAGCATGAGTGTAAGTATATGTCGCCTTCTCTCCTCAGGCTTCGTACTGACGGCAACCAGATCTTCAGGAAGATGTCCAAGATATGCAGAGCAGACTCGACGAGGAGGCAGCAATCGCAGCACGCTATGGCAGAGGCTCGTTGGCTTTTATCCGCGGATGTCTCAATGAGCTTTCTCGTCCTGGCATGCGCAACCGTGTTCTTCTTGTCTTTTGCGCTTTTGCGTTGCAGAACCTGTCCGGTGCCTCTGCAATCAACTACTACTCGCCCACATTGTTCGGTTCCCTTGGTGTTACAGACATTCCATTGTACACGGGTATCTACAGGCTTGTCAAGGCGATTGCTTCGATCATCTACTACATCTTATTTGTTGATGTGCTCGGTCGTCGCAAACCTGTGTTGGTCTCTTCAGTCGCTTGCTCCCTCTGCCTCTGGTTTGTGGGAGCATACGTCAAGGTTGGACACCCAGCAAGTGCCATTGCTGCCGGTGAACCTTTGTCGGCATCCACAGCAGCTGGTGGTCGTGCCGCCATTGGCATGATCATGATTTATTCCATTTTCTGGTCCTTCGGGCTGAACGGTATTCCTTGGATTGTGTCGGCTGAGATCTTCCCTGGTTCTTTGAGAGTCCTTACAGGAACTTATGCTGCACTCTGTCAGTGGCTCGTTCAGTTTGTCATGACCAAGGCCTTGCCATATATTTTCAAATCTTTTGGCTACGGTACATGGTTCTTCTTCGCGGCTTGGATGCTGATTGCGACACTTTGGACATTCTTCTTCATGCCCGAGACAAAGGGTTTGACGATCGATCAGATGGATGAATTGTTTGGATACAAGGGGCATGCAAGAGCAGAAGATATGGAGATTGGAGTGGGTAACAAGCAAGGTGTGGAAACAATCGACAAGATTGGTGCAACGACCACCGAGTATGCAGACAGAAACTAATCAGGCAAACTTTGATTGAATCGGACTGAGTTCATGTTGGCCATAAATCTTGCGAATCGAATCTTCTACACTGACTACGAATCGCATCAGCTGCGAGCCAATTCAGCCACTTTAGATCCATGTCCAGTATTTGACAACGACGGAATCCAGGTCAGCAAGATAGTCTCAATCATGTCTTTCGTTGCGCCAAGTTGCTCACGGTCAAGGGAAGTCTAGAAGGGTATCAAGAAGTTCGGTCAGGGTATCAGTGCTGGCAAGGCTCAGCCGAAACCGGAGATGCAAGCTCTCTCTCCGCAAGCCGACAGGCTTCTCCAACTCATCTCCGGCATGAACGACCAACATGCACAAAACAGGAGCAGCACTGCGTCACGACCGGGCAGGTCACGGCTTGGATGTCTGACGTGCAAAAGGAGGAAGGTGCGATGTAACGAGCAGCGGCCGAGATGCTCACACTGCGAGCGACTCAATCTGCAATGCACGTGGAAGACCAACACAACCATCGCTCTTGCTGCCGCGCAAAGGCGGCAGACCAACCTGTCAGAGACTTCTGCCTTGAGGGTTCAAGATGGCAGTAATAATACGCATGCGACAAGCAATGCTGATGGTGCAACATTGCAAGCTGCTCCCAACGTTTCGGCGTCGTCTTTGCAAGACGTCCCTGGATCTGTCGCGAGTTCAACATCGCCGGCCACCACACGTAATCCTCCTGCTGTTGACAATTTCTTCGACTATGCAGGTTTCATGTTCGACAATCCCGAATGGTGGCAGCAGTTTCAGCCTTCCGAGGCGCTTCTACAGAACAACCAGATCGATCAAACCCTCGAAGACTTGTTCAGCTCGCCAAGTACGAACTCGCCGTCCTTCACCGTGACCAACAACGTAGTCCGAGCCGAGAACATCGCAACTAGTCATGCCGGAGATGGAAATCTGCAAGCAGCAAGAGCACAGGAAGACATACAACCCGCACAGAATGAGGATCAGTTTCTGCTTGACTACTTTGTGCATAGTACTGTGCCTCCGATATTGGCACCCGTCGAGACGCAACAACAATGGTCGTCAATGCGACGCCATCTTCTTGTCATGGCTAGAGAGTCGTCAATGGTACGCTCTGCACTTTTGGGCTTCTCCGATCTACTATTACGTCGTCGCCGTCAACACCTTTACACAACCAATTGCGGACAAAGGCACCATCAAGAATCAAGTCGCGAGCTGTCTAGATATACTGCAAGCACCCAAACGAGTCACCCAAGGCGCGAGCACCTTCTAGCGACTTGTTTCTTTCTGAGCTACGTCGATATTCTCGAGGGTCGGACAGAGGCAGCGCATGGAAGCCTGAAAATTGCATACCACATTTTCGACAAGGGTGAGAAGTCAAGCTTCGGTCCTTTGGAAATACGTATTCTTTCCTGGATCAGGTTGCTTGATGGCAGGGCTGTCTCGGCAGGTGGTGAGGGCTTGTTCTTGTCTGATGATGAGGCGACAGAGATGCTTGTACAGCCTTCGCCCGCCGGTTTGGAGAATCTACAGAACGACCTGGACCCGTCAAACGCTGCCGACCAGAGCGCTGAGATTGAGGATGCTCTGTTCCAAGCACTTTATCAACCAGGTGCTGTCTTCTTCCAAAAGGTACAATCATTCATGGGTCGCATATCGAAGATTGATCCATGGCATAGAAGTAGAGGAACAGTGGCAGACGAGACCGAAGTTATGATCATCGCTGCCAAAATCACCCGGGACCTCGATAAACTGTTCGACAGCCGACCTCGACTGATGGACTATGCGGCCAAAGGTCAATTGACACCTCAACACCTGAGTTCTCATCTCTCCCATACCATTACCAGAGCTTTTAGAACCTACGCAAGTAATTTTTACGCAAGCAAAGTGCATCTTCATCGAGTTGCATACAAAACGCTGCCTTTGACTATGGAGACTGTACTTGCGCTTGCCAAAATCAAAGAGCTTGCCAAGATGATGGTTGATACGCCTTCAGAATCAGGCATTGAAGGTGGTGAACCTCTGCCTGTCAACATGCTTTGGCCGCTGCTCATGCTCGGATCAGAAGAGGGAGATTCTCATGAACGATTCTGGATCAGAAATCAGATATGCAGGATGCAAGAAGTAGCCACGAACGCAGAGATGACAGCACAAGTTCTGGATGAGGTTCAGAAGATGCAGGATTTGACGAAGACAAGAGTTGACATTCGCAGTATCATGCATAAGATCTTTGATGCATGCTTTGCGATCGTGTGAACGAGCCCCCGTCCTGACAGCTCATCGGCTGCTTGCGATCATACGCGATATCTTGGCCTGTATGCTCTACCGATTCTCAAGCCATTCTGAAGCCTGACACATCCGATGTGGTTTTCGACTCCGCGATACGAGTCGCTTCCCCACTGTTGGGTGACTCCTCGGCTCGCGTCTTGGAACCGATCGGATATATAGCGTCTGAGTGGAGCTGCGGGGCCCCATTGCAAGCCACATCCGCTCCACAATTCGCGAGCAACAACAACTTGGGCATGTAACGCTGCCGAAAAAGTGGTCCTCGACTCCGAGAATGGTTCCGATGCGAGAACCGATTGCGGCAGTGCTGACAGCTTCGAACACCAAGGTGTTTTGCAACAAGTATCTCTGCCAGTCCACAAATCATTGCTCGCTATTAATTCTTTTGCTTTTGGCAATACAGCTTTCCATACTAACCCGCCATCATGGTCCACAGCACTACACCACGGTTGTTCCCTCCTGGCATTCACGTACCTAGTCTGACGTGGTTTGCCAATGATGCCACCCAAGAGATTGACTGGCCGACGCAGACTGAGCACATCAAGTTCTTGATTTCTTCCGGTCTTCATGGCAGTATGTGTCAAGTTTACTGGACTCTGACATCCCATACTGATTTAGATTCTGCCTAGTCGTACTTGCCGGCACCAATGGTGAGGCTGTGACTCTGTCAGCCAAGGAGAAGTCAGACCTGGTCAGCACAACACGCAAGCTTGCAAATGAACTTGGTCGCCCAGAAGTCACAATCACACTTGGGTGTGGAGGACAGAGCACCCGCGATGTTATTGCTGAGACCAGACTCGCGAAAGAAGCGGGAGCCGACTTTGCGCTGGTTCTTGTACCAAGCTACTTCCATTTCGCCATGCACGAGGACGCAATTGTTGAGTTCTTCCAAGAGGTTTGCATAGTATCCAGATCGGTTGTTCTTCCACTCTGACTCAATTTCCAGCTTGCCGATGCATCCCCCGTTCCTATCTTGATCTACAACTTCCCCGGTGTTGTTGCTGGACTCGATGTCAACTCTGACATGCTCTCAAAGCTCGGCAGCCATCCCAATATCGTTGGTGTCAAGCTCACATGCGGTGGCATCGCCAAAGTCGCTCGAATCCGTGCTCAATTCTCGCCCGACGAGTTTTGCGCTCTTGCAGGACAAAGTGACTGGCTTGTCCCAGCTCTAGCGGTCGGCGCTACTGGCACCATCACTGGTGTCGCAAACCTGTACCCGAAGTACTGCATCGAAATCTACAACCTGTGGATGCAAGGCAAGACCAAGGAGGCCGAGAAGGCACAACTAGAGCTTGCAAAGATGGAGTGGGGATTTGCAAAAGGCGGAATTAACGGTACAAAATGGGTTGTTGCCAAACTTAGAGGATATTCGCTGGACAGTTGTCACTGCAGGCGACCTTATCCAAAATTTGTCGATGCGAAGAAACAGGCATGGGTCCTGGATACTGTGATGCCGCTCCAGGAACATGAGCAAAACTTGGTTTGATCATATTGTAATGATATTATGACAGCGATAACAAGACCATGCTATACTGCAACCCTAGGTTTGATCAAATATAGAATCGAAGCTGCATTGTTGCTGCAAGGCAATCTTTGCTTTAATCGTCTCCCACTATCTTGCCAGATTCAATCAAGTCTGCAAATAGCTAGGGTTTTAGGGTTAGGGTTAGGGTT